GTGAGCATTAAAGGTAACATTAATAAATTTCACTGCTCTTTTCTAGCTTCTGAGAGTGTGGTGTTGGCCAGCACAGCAATTCAGCTCCTCGATGACAGAAAGTCTCCAATTGTTGCTGGTAATAGTCGTCCACATCACATTTATCTCCAGCTCTTGTTTATCAAGTCAGAGCTCAGTGTTATGCTGTTTTCAGCTGTGGGGATCCAAATGAAGCTCGAGTATTTTCAGAGAAAGTTCTGGACTGCCTGCAGACAGGTAATCTGAAACCTCTGTGACATAATATTTTAGAAATAATTTAATTTCTAATCAGGGATGAAAATAAACTCTGATTGTGTGTTACTCAGTGCACAGCTCTGGATGGAAAATGTATCATTAGCTGTGACAGTGAGGTAAGAAAGTTTCCATATCACTGCTTTTATTCCTGTTTGATGTTGTTTTTAACTTAACCTTCTTGTTTTCTGTCCTTTCAGGACATTAACTGCTACCTCATTGACAACAATGGCTTCATTCTTGTTACAGAAGAAAAATCTCAGGTAGAGTGAGAGAGAGAATCTGTTGAAAACTTTTAATCCTGCATCCAAAAATCTGGACTTTATGCAAGAGTAGCAAGTAAAAAGCCATTGTTGAAAGAAAGTTATAAGAAGCAGGAGCTGCAGCAAAGCGACCAATATTCAAGCACTATTTAAAGGATTAAAAATGGCAATTTTTACATTTCCATCCGAAGTTAACTGAGCCTGAGCTGAAGAATCAGCAAAAGATTTTAGTGTCTGAATATGCTAAGTTAGTAGATAGATCATTAATACGCAGGTACTATTTAGGATGTTATTTTTTATGCTATTCCTGTAAGATTTCCAGTAATGTAAGAAACCGTCCTTCTCTCTCAGACAGGGCTTTTCTTTGGAGAGGTGGAGGGTGCTGTCATGAGCAAACTTCTCCAAATGGGCTCCTTTAAGAGGTCTGTCTCTGTTTTCACTGCAGGTCTTAATTGTTTGCATTACAACCTGTGCTGTTGTGCTTGTGTCGCAGAATCAACCTGTATGATTACCAGGCGCTTTGCAGAGAGTACGCCGGGAGCAGCGACAGCGCACGCACTTTATCAGATGTGAGTGTTTGAGAAACACCAACCTGTAAATAGAAGAAGACCAGAACTCTGCAGACTGTTGCAGTAATATCTCTATGGTCAAAATATTCAGAAATAGCAGGGATGTATGTATGCACTGTCTGTGCACCGTTGTTATGCAATGGTTAGTGGGGAGAACTGTGACGAGTATGAAACATTTTCTTCCTCCTTTTCTTTTCTTTCAGCCTTTCTCAATGGTTAAGTGGCTCCTGACAGAACTTGTCATGTAATAACTTTTAAGTACATTGTAGTTTACTTTTTATAATGATCACAAAGGATGCATGTTTACATTTTCTGCTGTTTTCTTAGTTTCCTGCTAGAATTCAACCTGTACAGCTGGTGGAACGTCGACCTCTCAGTCAAAGGTAGTCTGTGAAAATTAACCACACGGCGAGAAAGAAAAACTTCCTTCCTTTTTGTGCAAACTTTGTGGTGGAGCTAAATATGTGTTTCCTGAACAGCTCAGAGACCTCAGGGTAAAACCATGATGGTGCCCTGCGACACAGAATACCCAGCCTTCGTCTCCGAACGCACCATTAAAGAGACAACAGGCAACATTGACTGTGGTGGTTGTGTCAGGTACCGATTTAGCCTCACGTCAAGAAGCTCGTCACTGAATCTTCAAATGATTTAAACTTTTCACTGTAACAATTTTAATTCTGGTTTGTGTGCTGGATGCAGGTCTTTTGTCATACAGCAGATTCCCAGCAGCAACCTGTTCATGGTTGTAGTTGACAACAAGTGCGACTGCAGCACCGTTGATCCTGTAACAATGGATCCCATCGAGATCAAGTATATCCTTTATAGACCTGCTGCGTTAAGCATTGTTAAGTGCTGGTTATGGGATTTGTATAAGAGTTAATAAATTTGTAACACAGGGAAAGGGGCCCGGATCGTGGAAGAGGACGTGGCCGTAAAGCCAACTGGTAGACTTCTCAAATCCTAAATCCCAATTAAAAATACTCAAGTAAGTCTGGCTTAAAATGATGAAACGGAAGTAGTGTACAAAAATATTTATTCATTAATTCATTCTTTTTGCAGTATTAAAAATATACTTTATTATTCTAATTCTAAAATCTGGTGGTGCACAAAGCACAGGACAGAAGCAATCTGAGATTTAAACAAAAGAAAAGAATAATTGCAAACCAAGTTAATCATGCAAATCAACACAAACTAATGTTAACAAAACAAAAAAAGAAAAAGAAAGAAATCCCAAGTTGCGCCAGCCCCGCCTTATGACGCGGTGCCCAATCAGCTGATTTAAAATAACTATCGTTCTGGTTCTGTGGTGTCTATGCTACCATTCTAGCTCTTCAGGACAACCTATTAGCCATTTAATAAACCTCTAAAAATGTGCATGCAGGTGAGAGCATAAAATACAACAGCGGCAATCTGCGGCAATCTTAATCCCCACACGGAATACGTTTAGATGCTGCAGTGAACTGCTGAAACCCTCCCTTATCCATAGTCCAATCCTGGATCACAGAGCACACGACCAGCACTCGTCCATCCACGATCCAACTGTGCACAACAATGGATCTGACACACACTTAACTTGGCGTTCGCACCCGGTACGTTAATGAGCCCCGCTAACCAGAAATGACATCATGTTGCATTCAAGGGCCTGAAACGGGTGGGAATTTACAACTTCAAATAAACAGCTAATACACCACCCGGTTACAAATTATTCGAAACTCTAAATGTGAGCTTTAATGAACTGTTTAGTCATTTCTATCCTTGACTCCTTTGAACACAACGAGTCACTAAAGTGTGACAGACTAAAGCTGCAGAAGGACAGGAAAAAGCCCGAGTCATGTCATCCTTTCCACCCTGAGGTAGGAGAAATGTTCCTGTCCACAAACTGACATGATAAACAAACAAGCCAAAATGTTTACTTGATTCTTATTCAAAGTAATTTGGCAGCAAATTACCATTAAATCACCATCATAGTAAATTTTAAAACTCAAAACACTGGTCATCAGTCAAACATTTGTTTCCAACTGTTTCAGGATAATTTTGATGTATTGAATCCAGTCATCACATTGGTTTTGCTCAATCAGGTCAACTTTCTGAAGTATGGCTGCAACATGAGCATCAAATGCATGACTTGTTCTCACATCTGGGTCGGTTTCCTGAGAATCTGGGATCAATGAGTGATGAGCAGGAGGAGTTAGTCCATCAGGAGAGAAAAGAGACGGAGAATTTTGCACAATGATGACATAATGTTCGATTTGCATGCTCCTATAAGGGCTTATCATTCAATTTACAGAAATACAAGTTTGCAACAATTATTATACAGAAAACTTTTTTTTCTTCTTAAATCTTTTTTGGATGAAAAATATTAACAGAAATGAAATAATAACATCACAAAAAGTCAGATAAAATTTCTCTAAATCAAATTATCAGTTTAGTGCAACCTAAATAGTCCTTCACAGATTTTTTCCATCCACTCTGACTGAGAATTACCTTTGAACCAATGACAGATTTCAGCTTAAAGAAAGTAAAAAAAATACTCTCAAAAGTCTGGCGGCTGTAATTGCAGCAATAAAGGTGGGATCCTCCCAGTTTTATTTAAATTAGACAAACACATACAATTTCTTTCTTCCATAACAAAAATTCCAAAAACATCCAATGAAATGTTGTTTATCTTGTTCTGGCTTACTTTATTGTTTGCATCATTGAAACCTCTGAAGCTAGATCCAGCACATCAAATTGTTTAACATGATGTTAATGTACTGAGGTATTACAGCAGTGTGTGTGTTTTCTGCAGGAAAATGCCATGGAGTGCGGCTCAGCCGGTCGCCTCTCCAGCTGCCTGGCTGTAAATCTGCTGCCTTTGATTGCAGCGACCGTCAGCAGGTGACCGTGAGCTGCAGGTCTGACGCTAACTCCACCAGAAGCCGCTTAGAAACATTTAGAGAACATGACTGATCAGAAACGACTTCGCTCACCTCTGCAGCAGACATTACTCAACTGAGATTCTATTAGGTCTTTATCAGTAGCTCTGAGGCTCAGATCCATTACTGCAGAAAACACAACATAATGTGAACTATAAGAGTGCGTGCTTGGTGAGTTTGCTCTGCTCATTGCAAATCACTACACTGGAAGTTTGTCTTGTTCTGAATGTCTGCTGAATTAATGGGAGGGGAAAACGGCAAATGGAAACAGGAGATTTTTTTGTCTTTTGTCAAAGTCTGAACAAGTCCACTGTGCAAAAGAAGATATTATGTGTGTTTCATTGTGATGAGAAAAAAATAAAGGAACGTAAAATGCACTTTTGTGAGCTATGGAAAGAATAAGGAAAAGACACATTTTGGCTATAAATCAGTGAAAATCAATTAATGTGCAATGTTTTATTTCCCTGAATATTTCAGTTGCTTTTCTAACAAAATATCTATTGTCAAAAAATATTTATAAAAGACAGTAAATAAAAAATGTTATTTGAACGGCTCTGCCAGTTTCTCTTCAATTAAAGTGAGAGAAGTTAATATGCATGATGAAGATGCAGTGTGTTGAAGAATGTTACATTTATATATTCAGCCATAATTTGTTGAAACGTCCATGTAATCTGAACCATGTGTCTAAGGAAAGAGATTAATAAACCTAAAGAAATATTTTCCTTCTTTACACATTGTGCTGCTTCCTCTTTGTGCATCTCATCGGGTTTAATTTTTCAAAAGACAAAAATAAGCTGAATTATAACAGATTCAACAGAGATAGGAAAACAAGCATGGTGGCGCAGATATGCAAACTAAACAATAAATTACAGTTGAACAAGAATTACAAGATGGAGGAAAATTTAACTTCAACTAAGTTAGCATAAATGCATGAATTATAATCTAACTCCCAAAAAAAAAAGAAAAAAAAAAGCAAGCATGGAGGATCAAATTTCAGCTCTAAATTATAAACTTTAAAAGTATGACCTCAAAGGAAAAAGTAGGTTGTTCTCTTATTCACCATAATAGATAGAATAAAAACCTTTTGTTTCAACAAATCATAATGGCACATCTAGTTTGGACCCGCAGGCCAATCAGGGATGGTGTTGTAAGTGTGGTAAAGGTTGTCAGGCTGCAAAGAGAAAATAAAAGCATCAACCACAGTTTGAGAATGAACTGCATGGTGGATAATCTGCTGAGTCAGACTTACATCATCATTTTTGGTCTCTTGCATGATTTGCCCTTCCAGATCTGTAGCAAAAATATTAGATATTTTTCTGATTATTTTGCTATTTTCAGCCTGGAGGAGATTCAGTATCTTGTCCACAGCTCTCTGGTCCACTCCATGTTGATGGAGAGGAGGAAGCTAATTCTTTACATGAAAAGTTAAGATCAGAAGTATCTGTAATTAATTTACTGATTTGTGAGTTACAATCTGTGGGATGCAAAATTCTGGCTAAGAAAAAGAAAAACATGCTTTTCGCATTAATGGCATTGACTTACTTTTTATTTAGTCTGTAATTTCTGGATTGAAATTGTGTCTCTACATGAAAATTAACTTAACATAAAAACTGAAAATGGTGTATTGTGTATATCCTAGCAAAGCTGTAGGTATGATGTAAAAGAAAAATGTTCTCACCAGCTCTCTGACGGATCACAAATGCATAAAACAGAAAAATAACGCCAAGGACTGATCCTAGACCAGTCAGAGCCACAAACAATATTTTGAGAATCCTCAAATCTGTTGAAGAGATACACAGTCAAAATAAGTCAAACTAGACAAAATACATACAGGTGTCCAGCTCGTACGGCATGCGCTCACTTCTGCCTACGAGTTATTGCTAAGTCCAATTTTTTGTGTTATCATTTTTTGGAGACCAATAAGCATTTGACTATACGACAGACTTTCTCCTCCCAGAATTACTGGGCAGTTCAAAGAAAAAAAACACAATTTGTTTCCAATTACTCAATTAATAGTAGCAATAATCAATATAGTAATTGACGACTGGAATATTCATGTTCTGAGGTTTATGAGAACACATACTTACTCGGCAATGGTGTGGATGAACTTGTTTTGTCAAAGACTTTATCCACAGTAAAGCGATGAGTCAGATTATTGTTTGATTCTGAAAAGAGATTAAAAAAACATCACATGAATGAGGATATTATTTACTTTTATTATATTTATAGATTTAATGCAACAAAGCAATTTAAAAAATAAAATATATCATTAATCGTAAGAGCGGAGAGGAGAGGAGAGGACAAAGTGGGACACCTTTTCTGCTTGTGGGTCCAGTTGAAATCCTGCTTGTGGGTCCAGTTGAAATCCTGCTTGTGGGTCCAGTTGAAATTCTGCTGGGAATGAAGGTTGTAAAATCTTTCTTTTTCTCTGGTTTATCTGAAACGAATAGTTACAGCAGAATATGTTTTTGCAGTATCATTATGTTGGGATACAATAATCAATGATCAGCAGATAGTCACTGACCTTGAATGAGGATGGATGATAGACTCCCATATTGAGAAAGCACCTGTCCAGGCTCAGCCGTGTACCGACAGTTCACTTTAAGCTCAGCAGGAAGTCTTCGATTTGCCATGTTCGCCATTTCCAGCAGTTCAGTTCCTCTGAGTGTCTGATGACAGGAACTGTTTCTCTGAAATCCTCTTGATTCAACCAGAATGTATAAATGACACATAGAGACAGAAACAGAGGAAGGAGCCTCACAGGTCAGTGTGACAGTGTCCATTTCCGTGATCACTGCTGGATTCACAGTAAGTTCAGGTGCAGGAAGAGCTGCAAAAGAAAAAAAGAAAACATCTCTAAAATGTCTCTACACTCTGGCATCCATCTTGATAGTCAAGTATTTGCATTGAACTTGGTAATGTGATCCTAGAGTGCAGCTGTGACTTTGTTATAATCTAAGTAACAGCAAACTTACACACAAAACACTGGACTTGTTACACAGCTGGCAATGCTATCAATGCAGCAGAAGCAATCTGCTGGGCCGGAGATTTTACAGCCATAAAAGTGGTCTGGAGGCTTGAACCAATAGTTCAGGTGATATATTGTATTAAGCATCCCAAGGTTTTAAGATTTATTGGTTAAAAAAAAAAAATATATATATATATAAAAATTCCCTTCTCACCCACCGCGGGTGGTTCTTATCCTCTGAGCTCGGGTCCTCTACCAGAGGCCTGGGAGCTTGAGGGTTCTGCGCAGTATCTTGGCTGTGCCAAGGACTGCACATTTCTGGACTGAGATGTCTGATGTTGTTCCTGGGATCTGTTGTAGCCACTGCTCCAGTTTGGGGTTTACTGCCCCGAGGGCCCCGATGACCACAGGCACCACTGTGGTCCTCACCTTCCAGGCCCTCTCCAGTTCTTCCCTGAGGCCCTGGTATTTCTCCAGTTTCTCATGCTCCTTTTTCCTGATGTTGCAATCACTTGGTATTGCTACATCTACCACAACGGCTTTCCTCTGATGTTTATCCACTACGACAATGTCTGGTTGGTTCGCCCTTCTGTCTCCATATAAATATATATATATATATTCGCAATCATTCACTATATAGCCTGGGCTATTAAAAAATCACATAGTGCTTCTAAAATGGCAAACTGTAAATAATTATGATAATAGAGAACGAATCTGGAAAATCAATACCAGACACATTTTGCCAAAATGGCCAGAATATTAAATCTGGCATTGTTTTACGAAGTTTTAATTATATCAAGTCACTTAACTTAGCACAACAAAAATAACCCCTGGTCAAAAATTGAAAGGTAAAGTTACTCACTTTGTACGTTGACGGACAGCATGTCACTGTACTGAGAACATGATCCAAACTGATCGGGGATGCAGCATTTCAATTCAACGTTAGCGGGTCGAGAAAGTTTTGCCATCTTCAGCAGCTCAGTCCCAGTAAACGTCTGGTTACATGAGAACTCATGATTTGTTCCTCTGTTGATAGTGTATAAAAAACAACGTGAACTACGCTGACCCTCACAGGTCAGAGTAACTGAGGCTGTCTCCATGATCTCTGACTCATTCGCTGTTAGCTTAAGTGGAGGAAAACCTGAATAAAACATTAAATCAAATATAAAAAGGGAATAATGTCATGTGACTTTGATCATTTATGGGGGGTTTTATCACTGACCTTCCGTCCAGAACCCATGAATGGAACCTACCAGGAAGATTAAAATAAAAGTTCAGCAAAATGTTTACGCATAAAAAAAATTCAGAATATATGCATTTTCCAAATCTAGACTGATAACAGAATATAAAAAACAACTTACAGATAAGGATGACAAAAAACTGTATTTTTGCCATGATGGAGAAAAGACCTTCAAACACCAGTGAGCAGAGATGAGACTGAGGGTCAAATGTTTGTTTGACACACTTCATTGCTCTAAACAGGAAAACCATTCTATAAAAGGATCCCACATTTAGGTGCTGCTGACTTCAGCGGAAACTAACAACTGTGCAAACATGAGCAGATGAGTCTCTGTTGTTTTATTTAATCTTGTTCAAGTTACGATTCTTAACCAGACATTGTATCAGAGGAGGGAAACATTCGGAACAGCAAACAACTAAAACAGGCGCCGCCATAAATTGAAATATCAAACAATTCCCATAATGTTTGTGCAGTGCATCAAAAGTAATTTAAAGAACTAAAGCCAATCTTAAACAAGAAGCAATCAATGGATAACTTTGCAGATCAATATTTTTCCTCTTCAGGTTGATTATCTCAGTTGATGATTCTCTCCTTTCCTTCTTCAAATGAATTAAAACCACAATAAGTCACCAACATTGCCAAAACTACGTAACTTAGTTTAGTCAGTATTTTTGTGTTGGGTTAAGTTTTAATTTTGGCTTTTCTGACTCTGAATATGATCATTTCAGATAATACTTGTTAAAAATTAACATCCAGTGACAAAAACATTTAGAAATGTATTTCCATATATCAAGAAAAGAACAATAAGTAGTTACACCAACAAAGAGGTTGACAGGATAAAAACTAAAATTAAGGAAACAGAAGAAGCATTTCAGAAGTAAAACATTTTGTGTGGTATTATTGGCACAAATCTGTTTCCATAGATTTCGACGTAACAAAGTGGCTCATCATTGCAAAGTGAAAGGACAATGATACATAAGTTCACAGTAAACAAAACATCTGAAGATTCCCCTAAATAAAATGTGATACTGCTAAAAATCTACTCTCATTAGATTAGAACAAAATGAAGTTTCACAGAAAACAAACAGCACGACTGAAAACCAACAAACTGAAACATGGAAGAAGCTGCATCAGGCTGAGGTTGGTTTTATTAAGAAGAGAGAAGCTGCTTTTATGGAGGCAAATACAAAACAACAGTGGCACAAAACCTGCTAAAGGAGATTCAGTACTGGATAACCAAAACCACACAAGCAGAAGTGTAATGAAGTTGCTGTTTAAAATGTCCTAGTTAAAGTTTAGACTTTAATTTAAATGTCATTCTTTGGAATAATTTTAGGTTTTCAGTTGTTCTTAATTTAATCTTGAGAAAAACCTTTCATCTCCAGATGTGCAAGACTGACAAAGACATACTCCCCCAAAACAAAAATAAAAAAATACATAAAATTTTAACATTTTTAAACATTGAATTTTGTCACAAAAAGAAAACAGCTGAACAGATAAAACAGCACTGCGTTTTTAAAAGTAATTATAGTCCAGAAAGGAAAGGAACAACAATTATGAAATGATAATAATAAAAATATCTATAAAATCATAATCTGTAACTGTACATTTAGCGGATATTTTAATGCGTCTTTAAACAAAAGCTGTTTTTCAGTGAGCTTGTATGGTGTAGTACAGCTCCTTCACTACGGTCGGTTCTTCTGGTTCATCAGGGATGGTGGAGTAAACGTGGTAAACATCATGCTTGTTAAAGAAGAACATAAACATAATTTATTTTTTTACATCTTTTGTTTTTAGAGTAAACATGTTCACTTCTGGTAAACCGTTGTATCTTACTTACATTTTCATTTTGAGAGTTCTGTCTGTTAATCGCAACAGATTCTGGAAAAGCATGATCAAATTAAGTACATCATTTATGTTGCCTTCTCATTTCTCAGTTTTAAAACACGTCTGACTTCTGCTTTTTAGGTACTTTGATTATTAGTATGCCTCATACCTGAACATGTGCAAAACAAATAAACAATGTAATCTCACAATCAACTTGCATGTAAAATCCCAATTTTGCAACTACAAACTTGTCAAATAATGCTAAAATTTCTGAGGTTTTTCTTCCAAAAGCTAATAACAAACTGAACCTCAACTTATAGATTATCTAGAGGAATAACAAGCAGCTCACCAGTTGCAGAATCGTCTGCAGGAACGGAGGTGACTGTGTGGTAGCCATCTTCATCCCCAACAGGTAACTTTTATATAATTGATTGGAAAGAGAGAATACAGAGTTAAAATAAACGAACTTCTCTTTTCCTTTAGACTGCATGATGTGCACATTTTACAAAAAGTTACCAGTCCTCCATTAGTGACATTCCTCATTCCTATGAAGTTATCTGGAACAAAAATTTAAATAGCATGTATCTATAAATGCAGAATATGTAAACACATGTTGAAAAACCAGATTAATGGATATTTACGTTACCATTAAAGCCTCGTGATCTGGAATAAAATGACGTGATAAAACAAATGAATATTTTGCACAACTTATAACATGTTCTAATAGTGTAATCACACTTTTTAAATGTATATAGTTTACTTATTAGATAGCTGTCATTCTGAGCAAAATCCACAGTGGAAATATTACAGCACTAATTTATTTCATGATTAAATAAAGCAGTAAATCTCCCTGTAGTGAACTGATAAATATTAATCGAATAAGATAAACTTTTTTTCTCTAACAGATCAAAGTAAACAGATCAACCTGATTCCAGTTGAAGTGAGAAAAAAATACCTTACCTCCGGTAAGTTTTTTTATCTGTCAAAAAAAACAAAAGTGTATTTAGTAATAAGTTTTTTACATATAATTTTGAAAAATTTTCACATACAATTTCTTCTTTCTTCAAAAAAAAAATAAAATCTCCCTAAATGTGAGAGTGTGAGTGTGTGTGCATGGTTGTTTGTCTCTGTGTTGCCCTGCGACAGACTGGTGACCTGTCCAGAGTGACCCCGCCTCTCGCCCGGAACGCAGCTGGAGATAAACACCAGCACCTCCCAACCCCGTTAGGGAGAAGGGTGCTCAGAAAATGGATGGATGGTTGGATGGATAAAAGGTTTGCTTGTTCACAAATAAAATAACCCAATCTGGATGCTAACGGCAACGCTCCGATCATCACTGCTGACTGTTTGTCCTCTGGATTGTGTCACATCACTGTTGCAACAGTCCTGACACTCTGGACCTGAAACACTTGAATCATTGTCGTATAAACAGGGCCTCAAACATGCATCAAGGAACAATCCAGCATCTTGGTCAGGACTTCCCAAAGAAAAGTGTTACAGTATGTATAGTTTTGACTTTGAGAGAATTAGATCAAATCCACCAAAGAATAAAGCTTGGCAGTCAAATTTGTTGTTTGACATAATTTTTATAAGCACCTTGACGAGATATGACATTTATGTCCGTGATGGGTAGAAACTGCATGATTCTCAAATATGTAACTGAATGATGTTAGGTGTCAAAATGGGTGGGAAGTTTAAAGCTACAGAGACACTCGTGTTCTCAGGCGTCTACTCACCACTTCTCCATCTGAAGGAACAGAGAAGTCCCACAAGCAAAACTACTCCCACAAATACTCCAAAACCAGGTACAGCTACATACATCCATTTAGTTTCGAATTTCCAATTTGCTGCTGGGGAAACAAAAACCACAGTGAATCAGTCTCACTTCCTTAATGGTCAAAACAAAATGTTGCAAACATCTTAGTACACCAAGCTTTATCTGGAAGCACAACGTAAAAGATGTTAAAGCAACCTGAGGTAGTTCAAAACATGGAATGCATAATTTGTAGAAAGAAGTTATTGTTAGCAACATACTAATCTTGTATTCATAATTGTTCCCCTGCATTTGCATTAAACTCATGCAGAGCTTAATTCAGAGAGAACACAAAACTTCCTAACTTAAATACAACATTGATCTCAAGCTAAAAATTGAAGGAATAGTGCATGATTTTGTACCATAAAATAGAAAAGAAAAAAAATACACAACATTTTATTGTATTTAGTGGCCAGGAATTAAATAATTTGAAACTAATCTTCTGGAACAGCAATTCTTTGCAATTTTATTGAGCTAAAACTCATATGAAAGAATTATTTCACTCATTTAACTTGTATTTAATTAGTTTTGCAAAGAGATTAGATAAATAGAAATAGCCCAAAAATAGAAACTGTTGTAGGATGTTTGTGAAAGGAAACCAAGAAATGTTTCACAAAATTAATTAATGTAAGTTCAGTTCTATCAAGTACTGAAGCAAGAAAATCTCTGACCCTTTATACTGTCTTATCTTTCTGGCAAAATAATCTGAAAATCTTAACATACATAAAGCAGATAAAGATTTAATACCAGAAAGTGAGGAGAAAAGTCTATTTTCAAAGCAAAAATCTGGTTTCAGTGACTGCTGTCAGATAGAAAAAACTTTCTTTCATGATTTCACTTAGGTGCAAAAGAAAACCAATTAGCAGAGGATTTCTGGAAGAAAGAGCTTTTACGGATCACAACATGCAAAAACCAAGAAATAAAACTACCATTAATAAACAAAAAACAGTAGTTTAGAGGCAGATCGTACCAGTGGTTGCAGGAAAATCCTTATTCTCAACAGCTGCAATGAAAGATGAAACATTTAGATCAAAGCCTTGATCAATCATTTAAGTAATACAGTTTAAAAGGGAATTCTGTCAAATACTAAATTATGTTTGCAAGCTCCTCTGGAAAAAGTCATCAAACATTTTTATAGTAATACAGTTTTTATGTTTTCAGCTTTTAGCACTTGGAAGTAACAAAATCCTGCCTCACAGTAAGAAGTGAATCTATGTAAAAAAAAAAAAGTTTACTTTAAAGTCAATGTAAAAATCTGGTTCGAATGACAGTTTTATTTTAAAGTTTCAATGACTGTATCTTTGATATTAAACTTTGTATGATGCTCTAAACATTTAGGCATGACAGAAAAGCAATAAATAGACATTTGGAAGAGGAAAAATACTTTTTCACTGCAATATTCCTGTGTAAACTATAGCAAAGTGTAATATATACAGCAGCTTTTCTGCATTAATATTTTCAAATGAGAACAAAGTATCAAAATCATGAAACATTTTCAAGTGTATAAAATGACCTGGTGCCTCTGATGGTGACGTTGACAAAGTAGAAACTGAGCCTAAAGTGTTGACTGTGGTACTTCCACTTGAATCTGAAGAAAACAAAGAAAAACAAAAATTTGTTGATAAATTTCATGTCCAAATGTTGAAGCTGACAATGTTTCTGAAGTTTTGACTGACCTGTTGTACCAAATAATGAAGGATTCACTGATGATGGCGGATCAGAAAATGGACTTTCTGTTTCCACTGTTGTCCTAAATGTTTGACCTGATGGATAAAGTCAAAGTACATAGTAAATATAATTATATGTGTTTAAAATTGTCTGGTATTGGTGTTAGAAGCAGATATTACCATCAGTCACACTGACAGTCGTTACTCTCTGAAACGTGGTCGATTCTGTTTCCTGAACATCTGCAATGGCAGAGAATAATAGAGTATTTAAGACCTTCACATTTATGTGATAAATGTAAACATGTAATACCAAGCTAATTAATATGTCAAAGATCAACTTATATGACGGTGAAATCGTAGGAACAGAATGGACAGTAAATTTAGAGATCTGGAACAAAGAGGAGGAATAGTTAGTAATTAATTGTGGATGGAGATTGTAGAAGTGTTACCATCAGTCACACTGACAGTCGTTACTCTCTGAAACTTGGTCGATTCTGTTTCCTGAACATCTGCAACGGCAGAGGAAACATTAAGACCTTTCACACGTTTGTTACAAATAAAAATGTGTGATGCCAAACTGGTAACCACTTGATTTCTGTCAAGGGTCAGAAAACAAAACTTTATAAAGCTGAAACTATATTAAGAAAATAGGATTGACAGACTAACAAATATTTCATATTTAGAGGTCATTGATCATAGAGAGAGTTAATAACTTACTGTGGACGGTGACTGTAGACGTTTTGCTGTATGGAGACTGATGCAGTCCTCCACGCTTCACCATGTAATAACATTTTAATTCAACCTCAGCAGGTGAAGTTTGATGTGTCATCATCAGGAGCTCACTTCCTGTAATCAGTGTTTGCTCACAGGAAATGCTTCTGGTCATCTTTGAGTTTATGAAATATAAAAAACAATTCTCCACAGAAACAGATGAAGGATTCCCACAGTTCACTGTGACTGAGTCTGAAACTGTGATCTGCTGTGGATACACAGTCAGTTCAGGTGGAGGAACTGAAAACATAAACAAGATCAAATAGTTTAATATCAGTCATTTGTATTAGTTCATCACAGCTGTATTTACTCACATTGTATGATGATGGTGAGCAGGTTACTCTTTGGAGATTGGTGTAATTTCAGGTAAAAACATGTTAAATCAATGTTAGCTGGTGAACTTTGTTTGGTTAAAGACAGAAGTTCAGCTCCTGTCATCGTGTTCAGACAAGAAAATATTTGGTGTATGTTTTCTCTCCCAAAGTAGAAATGACAATTTTTCACAGAAGATGGAGGCTGACAGTTTAAAGTGACTGAGTCTGACTCTGTGATCACCAGAGGATTCACTATCAGTGTGGGTGGAAGAAGATCTGGAAATATGAGTAAAGAAAAACAGAAACAAACAGGTAAAAGTTAATGCATGATGGATTTCCAATATGTTCTTAATCAATGTTGCTACAATCTTTGATAACCAGATGACTCACTGTTTATGGTGATGGTTGTTGATTCACTGTCTGACGATGTGGTACTGAGAGCATCATTCATTTTAACGTAGGAACATTTAACTTTGACATCAGCTGGTGATCTTTTATTTAACATCCTTAACATCTCAGATCCTGTCAGTGTTTTCACACAGGAAGAGTCTGAAAACTTTGTTGTTTTCAAAGTAGAAATCACACCGAGACACAGAAACATTTGCCGAACAATTCAGTGTGACTGAGTCGGTTTCTGTCATCACAAGTCGATCCACTTTTAGGTTTGGTTGAGGAAGAGCTGAAAGTTCAAAAGGTGTTTAGATATCAACTTTTATCAGAAAAGAAACATTTTATTTACCCAAAGATACTTAACTGAAACTAACCTTCAGCTTTTGCTTCATGAATCAAATCTATAGAAAATGAGGCAAAGAAACAACATTTGTGTCTTTTCTGACTGGACAGTAAAATGTAATACAATTGTAGCAAAAAGTAAATACTCAGACTTTATATTACAGAGTAGAACATAATATCAATGACAATAAACTAAACTTACTGAGGAGGATGAAGAACAGCAGCTGTAAAGCCATGATGAAGTAGTGAATGTCTTCCTACTGTGACTTTTACCTACATTTGGTTTCAAAAGACGTTAAAATAAACCACATGATCAGTAGAGGACCCTCCTACTGACCACAGGAACAAAAACTCACATGATAAATAGTTCATCCGTATCTTACACCACCTAAACCTACAACATGAACAGACCATTTCACTATCATCATTTTACTGACACTTGATATTTTAGTAAAAGTTTAATGCTATGGTTCTGGATCCGCTGCATGGAGTAACTTTACAAGTTCAGTACATAAAGTTTTGTGGTTTAAATTGTCATTTTCTATTGAAAGCCCTCACTGACAGGTATCTGTTCACAAATCTAAAAATAGCAAAAACACTATCACATATCAGTAAAACTATCTGCATTGTTTTGTGTGATTCAGTCTTATATGAACCAGTCGCTGTTTAAACTGGGTAAAGACAGATGGTCTCAGTAACATGTTGATATATTTATTATATTTAGCCCTCTGCACAATAGCTTATTGTCTGCTTGCTTCATATGAGCCTCAACAAAACTGAAGAGGTGGTAAATTTCCAGCTCCAGATTAAATTCAAATTAAACATATTTCCTAAATCTTTTCCAAACACTTTGGTTACTTGTTTGCGTTTATCAGACTAGATGAGGTAATCAAAGGTTCAGTTCCTCTAAAAGCCAAACGCTGATGTTCCTGTAAAACGGACTAACATTAATAAAAGAAAGCAGAATAAAAACAAATGCAAAATTTATTTGTATAGAACAATATTTGAAACTGATAACATGATTCACAAGGATTGAACTCAACAAAGTAAGCAATCATTAAATACTAACAAAATAGATCTTATACTTCTGGAGCAAAAACAAATATAGATAAAATAAAACACAAAATATATGACGGTGAGTTAATCTTTCAAGTCAAAAACCTAAAATGAAATTATTATTTTTTGGTCGTTATGTATTCTCTCAACATATGTGGCAGTAGAAATGGGTCAGAGATGTGAAGTCGTCCTCTTCCTGTAGGTTTGTACATTTTTTATAATCATTTATGAGCAAATTACATTTTATTCATCATGGCATTTTTAACAGTTTTTATACATATTTTTAATGAAAACATATAAAAAAAATTATGGTAAATTCAAACAGCTTTGTTATTGAAAGGCTGTTGACATATTTTCAAATTACACGAGATAAAACAAGTTTGGATGGATGAGGTTCAGTCGTCACTCTGTGAAAACAAAGAAACATTTTGTAAAACTCTTATTCAGTTTTGTTTTAGCATTGGTAACATATCATGCCGATGTTGTCAAACTTTAAGATTTTTACTTTTATTCTTAAGAAAACGTGATTTCCTTGTATCTTTGCAAATATCTGTACAAACACGTTTCTATGTTTCAAGCTTATTCAACAGAACAGCGCCATCAAGTGGCCAAACTACCAATCAGTGATCATTACACTTCATTGCCAGAGACAAACTCAGAGTTACGGCTGCAGGCAGCAGCGCTGTAGGATCGTCACATCCTGCCTGTAAATGTTTTAATAATAAGTTTGAAAGACGCAGGACAGTCTGCACTGAGACAGAATGACTCTGAGATTCATCGTTTTAGCAGAAGCAGAAATTTAACAAACCATCTCTGTTGTTCAGACCAGATATCTGGATCTGCTCCACTGGAAAATGACCAAAAGGAAAAATCACACATTAATAGTACTGCTGTCAGGTAAAGGCATCATAACACAATTTATTGTTGATGAGCAACAAACTTTTTGTTTTCTTTACCTGAAACTTCAGCTTTTGATCTGTGGCAACAGACAAGAATTAATTTGTTGTGTTTTTAATAAAATGGACATAAAAAATGTTTGAAAATGATTTGAATCCAAACAAAAGTCTACAAAAAATCAGCAGGATAAACTCAAACATCACCTCCACAACAAGGTTTGATATTTGTTATGACGGCTTTATACTAATAATAACCGGAGTTTAATTTAAAATAAAAAAACACGCCTCATTCAAAATAACCTCAAGCATTTTTACTTTAGTTCAGAAAGATGCAGCCTTGCTAACTTAAGCTGTGCTTCCATCTTTATTTTCAACATAATAAATAAACTATTGCACACCAAACCATAATTGTTCAGTGTTTTTTTCACAGGGTCATCTGCAGGGAGCCATTATTAACGATTTAAAGTAGAAGCAGAGGCTCACAGAAAACATTTGACTGATATGTTAATAGTGTGATTGTTGATTTTAAACCTTTTCGGTGTGCAGTTAATATTGTTTATGCTACTGGACTTAAACAAGAGATTTTTACTGTCCATATCCAAGACAATGTAAACTATAACAATAACTGAGATTTTCAAAAAGCAGCCAACATTTATGCAACAATATTTAGAAAATTACATTTTCCTACCTTTTCAAAAAACATTTCTCTAGAATAAAAAGAGAAACACATTTTTTTATTAACTTTCTTTGGGAAAGAACTATGCCAAAGAATTTGTTAAATGTAGTAAATATTTAAGCAGATGTAGATGTAACTTGTATTTAAAAAGGTATTTAAATTCAATTAGTGCTATATCTGCATTCTTACCCATTCTGCTTATGCAACATTTTAGAGTCAATCCAATCAGGACTAAAGAGATCAATCCAACTGCAATGAACCTCCAGATCATCATCACTGCATGAAGAGATGAAACAAGTTCAGCACTTATTGTAGAAATAATCACATCTTTGTCATCAAGTAATATTTAAATTACTAAATCTGACTCACATCAGCTCTGTCTGGAGGAATGAAAAGCTAAACCGTTCAACTCAAGTAATTTAGTACAAAAGGCATTTATATTAAATAACATATCTATGTCAACTTCTCCAGAGAAAGTAATACAATATTTTTGAGATAATAAAGTGTTTCAGTTTTTAGTTTTTAGCACTGAGGCGTATTTTAGAAAATCCTACCTCACTAACAGAAGTAAAATCTGATGTAAAATCAGGTTGAGAGACGTTTGATTTCTTAAAGTCTACATAAACATCTGGTTTCAAATATGTTTTATTTTGAAATTTGTATGATGCTCTAAAAATTTAGCCTGGTTTCAGTGACTGCTGTCAGATAGAAAAAACTTTCTTTCATGATCTCACTTTGGTGCGACAGAAAACCAATAATAAGAAATCTGTAAGAAAGAACTTTTACGGATCACAACATGGAAAAACCAAGAAATAAAACTACCATTAATAAACAAAAAACAGTAGTTTAGAGGCAGATCGTACCAGTGGTTGCAGGAAAATCCTTATTCTCAACAGCTGCAATGAAAGATGAAACATTTAGATCAAAGCCTTGACCAATCATTTAAGTAATACAGTTTAAAAAAGGAATTCTGTCAAATACTAAATTATGTTTGCAAGCTCCTCTGGAAAAAGTCATCAAACATTTTTATAGTAATACAGTTTTTATATTTTCAGCTTTTAGCACTTGGAAGTATTTAACAAAATCCTGCCTCAGTGTAAGAAATTAATCTAATGTAAAAAAAAAGTTTATTTTAAAGTCTATGTAAAAATCTGGTTTCCAATATCTTTGATATTAAACTTTGTATGATGCTCTAAACATTTAGGCATGACAGAAAAGCAATAAATAGACATTTGGAAGAGGAAAAATACTTTTTTACTGCAATATTCCTGTGTAAACTATAGCAAAGTGTAATATATACAGCAGCTTTTATGTGTTAAAGTTTTCAAAAGAAGAAAGTATCAAATCATGACACATTTTCAAGTGTATAAAATGACCTGGTGCCTCTGATGGTGACGTTGACAAAGTAGAAACTGAGCCTAAAGTGTTGACTGTGGTACTTCCACTTGAATCTGAAGAAAACAAAGAAAAACAAAAATTTGTTGATAAATTTCATGTCCAAATGTTGAAGCTGACAATGTTTCTGAAGTTTTGACTGACCTGTTGTACCAAATAATGAAGGATTCACTGATGATGGGGGATCAGAAAATGGACTTTCTGTTTCCACTGTTGTTCTAAATGTTTGACCTGATGGATAAAGTCAAAGTACATAGTAAATATAATTATATGTGTTTAAAATTGTCTGGTATTGGTGTTAGAAGCAGATATTACCATCAGTCACACTGACAGTCGTTACTCTCTGAAACGTGGTCGATTCTGTTTCCTGAACATCTGCAATGGCAGAGAATAATAGAGTATTTAAGACCTTCACATTTATGTGATAAATGTAAACATGTAATACCAAGCTAATTAATATGTCAAAAATCAACTTATTGAAGGTGAAATCGTAGGAACAGAATGGACAGTAAATTTAGAGATCTGGAACAAAGAGGAGGAATAGTTAGTAATTCATTGTGGATGGAGATTGTAGAAGTGTTACCATCAGTCACACTGACAGTCGTTACTCTCTGAAACTTGGTCGATTCTGTTTCCTGAACATCTGCAACGGCAGAGGAAACATTTAGACCTTTCACACGTTTGCTACAAATACAAATGTGTGATGCCAAACTGGTAACCACTTGATTTCTGTCAAGGGTCAGAAGACAAAACGTTATAATGTTGAAACTATATTAAGAAAATAGGATTGACAGACTAACATTTAATATTTAGAGTTCATTGATCATAGGGAGAGTTAATAACTTACTGTGGACGGTGACTGTAGACGTTTTGCTGTATGGAGACTGATGCAGTCCTCCACGCTTCACCATGTAATAACATTTTAATTCAACCTCAGCAGGTGAAGTTTGATGTGTCATCATCAGGAGCTCACTTCCTGTAATCAGTGTTTGCTCACAGGAAATGCTTCTGTACATCTTTGAGTTTATGAAATATAAAAAACAATTCTCCACAGAAACAGATGAAGGATTCCCACAGTTCACTGTGACTGAGTCTGAAACTGTGATCTGCTGTGGATACACAGTCAGTTCAGGTGGAGGAACTGAAAACATAAACAAGATCAAATAGTTTAAAATCAGTCATCTGTATTAGTTCATCACAGCTGTATTTACTCACATTGTATGATGATGGTGAGCAGGTTACTCTTTGGAGATTGGTGTAATTTCAGGTAAAAACATGTTACATCAATGTTAGCTGGTGAACTTTGTTTGGTTAAAGACAGAAGTTCAGCTCCTGTCATCGTGTTCAGACAAGAAAATATTTGGTGTATGTTTTCTCTCCCAAAGTAGAAATGACAATTTTTCACAGAAGATGGAGGCTGACAGTTTAAAGTGACTGAGTCTGACTCTGTGATCACCAGAGGATTCACTATCAGTGTGGGGGGAAGAAGATCTGCAAATATGATCACAGTAAAGTTATACACATGATGGATATCCAGCATAGCCATTCATCAACAGAAACACAAATCAGAATAAGACCCCCTTTTAAATTAAACTGCGTATCTGTTTACTCACTATTTATGGTGATTAATGTTGATGCACTGTCTAATGATTGTAGAGCTCCATCCTTTACAGTGTAGACACATTTAACTTTGACATCAGCTGGTGATCTTCTGCTTAACAGCCTCAGCATCTCAGATCCTGTCAGTGTTTCCTCACAGGATGAATTTGCTGACATTTCTTTGTTTTCAAAGTAGAAATCACACAGAGACACAGAAACATGTGGAGCCGAACAATTCAATGTGACTGAGTTGGTTTCTGTCATCTCAAGTCGATCCACTGTTAGGTTTGGTTGAGGAAGAGCTGAAAGTTCAAAAGGTGTTTAGATATCAACTTTTATCAGAAAAGAAATATTTCATTTCCCCAAGGATACTTAATTGAAACTAACCTTCAGCTTTTGCTTCATGAATCAAATCTATAGAAAATGAGACAAAGAAACATTTGCATCTTTTCTGACTGGAAAGTACAATTTATTACGATTGTAAAACCTCAGACTTTATATTAAAGAGTAGAACATAATATCAATGACAATAAACTAAACTTACGGAGGAGGATGAAGAACAGCAGCTGTAAAGCCATGATGAAGCAGTGAATGTCTTCCTACTGTGACTTTTACCTACATTTGGTTTCAAAAGACGTTAAAATAAACCACATGATCAGTAGAGGACCCTCCTACTGACCACAGGAACAAAAACTCACATGATAAATAGTTCATCAGTACTTTAGACCACCTAAACCTACAACAAGAACAGACCATTTCACTATAATCATTTTACTGACATTGATATTTTAGTTAAAGTTTAATGCTTTGGTTCTGGATCCGCTGCATGGAGTCACTTTACAAGTTCAGTACATAAAATAAATAAGATATGATACAAAATTTGAAGTTGTTCTCCTCTTCTTGTAGGTTTGCACATTTTTTATTATTATTTTTGAGCAAATTACATTTTATTCATCATGGCATTTTTAACAGTTTTTATACATATTTTTAATGAAAACATATAAAAAAAATTATGGTAAATTCAAACAGCTTTGTTATTGAAAGGCTGTTGACATATTTTCAAATTATACGAGATAAAACAAGTTTGGATGGATGAGGTTCAGTCGTCACTCTGTGAAAACAAAGAAACATTTTGTAAAACTCTTATTCAGTTTTGTTTTAGCATTGGTAACATATCATGCCGATGTTGTTAAACTTTAAGATTTTTACTTTTATTCTTAAGAAAACGTGATTTCCTTGTATCTTTGCAAATATCTGTAGAAAACACGTTTCTATGTTTCAAGCTTATTCAACAGAACAGCGCCATCAAGTGGCCAAACTACCAATCAGTGATCATTACACTTCATTGCCAGAGACAAACTCAGAGTTACGGCTGCAGGCAGCAGCGCTGTAGGATCGTCACATCCTGCCTGTAAATGTTTTAATAATAAGTTTGAAAGACGCAGGACAGTCTGCACTGAGACAGAATGACTCTGAGATTCATCGTTTTAACAGAAGAAGAAATTTAACAAACCATCTCTGTTGTTCAGACCAGACATCTGGATCTGCTCCACTGGAAAATGACCAAAAGGAAAAATCACACATTAATAGTACTGCTGTCAGGTAAAGGCATCAAAACACAATTTATTATTGATGAGCAACAAGTTTTATTTTCTTTACCTGAAACTTCAGCTTTTGATCTGTGGCAACAGACAAGAATTAATTTGTTGTGTTTTTAATAAAATGGACATAAAAAATGTTTGAAAATGATTTGAATCCAAACAAAAGTCTACAAAAAATCAGCAGGATAAACTCAAACATCACCTCTCCACAACAAGGTTTGATACTTGTTATGACGGCTTTATACTAATAATAACCGGAGTTTAATTTAAAATAAAAAAACACGCCTCATTCAAAATAACCTCAAGCATTTTTACTTTAGTTCAGAAAGATGCAGCCTTGCTAACTTAAGCTGTGCGTCCATCTTTATTTTCAACATAATAAATAAACTATTGCACACCAAACCATATTGTCACCATCATTTTGTTTTTTTTTCACAGGGTCATCTGCAGGGAGCCATTATTAACGATTTAAAGTAGAAGCAGAGGCTCACAGAAAACATTTGACTGATATGTTAGAGTGATTGTTGATTTTATACCTTTTCGGTGTGTAGTTAACATTGTTTATGCTAGTGGACTTAAACAAGAGTTTTTTACTGTCCATATCCAAGACAATGTAAACCATAATAATAACTGAGATTTTGAAAAAGCAACCAACATTTATGCAACAATATTTAGAAAATTACATTTTCCTACCTTTTCAAAAAACATTTCTCTAGAAGAAAAAGAGAAATACATATTTTTTTATTAACTTTCTTTGGGAAAGAACTATGCCAAAGAATTTGTTAAATGTAGTAAATATTTAAGCAGATGTAGATGTAATTGTATTTAAAAGGTATTTAAATTCATTATTGCTATATCTGCATCTTACCCATTCTGCTTATGCAACATTTTAGAGTCAATCCAATCAGGATTAAAGAGATCAATCCAACTGCAATGAACCTCCAGATCATCATCACTGCATGAAGAGATGAAACAAGTTCAGCACTTATTGTAGAAATAATCACATCTTTGTCATCAAGTAATATTTAAATTACTAAATCTGACTCACATCAGCTCTGTCTGGAGGAATGAAAAGCTAAACCGTTCAACTCAAGTAATTTAGTACAAAAGGCATTTATATTAAATAATAAAATGTCTATGTCAACTTCTGAAGAGAAATTAATACAATATTTTTGAGATAATAAAGTGTTTCAGTTTCCAGTTTTTAGCACTGAGGCGTATTTTAGAAAATCCTACCTCACTAACAGAAGTAAAATCTGATGTAAAATCAGGTTGAGAGACGTTTGATTTCTTAAAGTCTACATAAACATCTGGTTTCAAATATGTTTTATATTGAAATTTGTATGATGCTCTAAAAATTTAGGCTGGTTTCAGTGACTGCTGTCAGATAGAAAAAACTTTCTTTCATGATCTCACTTTGGTGCGACAAAAAAACCAATAATAAGAAATCTGGAAGAAAGAACTTTTCCAGATCACAACATGCAAAAACCAAGAAATAAAACTCCCATTAATAAACAAAAAACAGTAGTTTAGAGGCAGATCGTACCAGAGGTTGCAGGAAAATCCTTATTCTCAACAGCTGCAATGAAAGATGAAACATTTAGATCAAAGCCTTGACCAATCATTTAAGTAATACAGTTTAAAAGGGAATTCTGTCAAATACTAAATTATGTTTGCAAGCTCCTCTGGAAAAAGTCATCAAACATTTTTATAGTAATACAGTTTTTATGTTTTCAGATTTTAGCAGTTGGAAGTATTTAGCAAAATCCTGCCTCACTGTAAGAAGTTAATCTAATGTGAAAGAAAAAGTTTATTTTAAAGTTTCAATGACTGTATCTTTGATATTAAACTTTGTATGATGCTCTAAACTATTAGGCATGACAGAAAAGCAGCAAATAGACATTTGAAAGAGGAAAAATACTTTCTTACTACAATATTCCTGTGTAAACTATAACAAAGTGTAATGTATACAGCAGCTTTTATGTGTTAAAGTTTTCAAATGAGAAAAGAATCAAAATCATTAAATATTTTCATAACATGATCCAAGTGTATAAAATGACCTGGTGCCTCTGATGGTGACGTTGACAAAGTAGAAACTGAGCCTAAAGTGTTGACTGTGGTACTTCCACTTGTATCTGAAGAAAACACAGAAAAACAAAAATTTGTTCAAATTTCATGTCCAAAGGTTGAAGCTGACAATGTTTCTGAAGTTTTGACTGACCTGTTGTACCAAATAATGAAGATTCACTGATGATGGGGGATCAGAAAATGGACTTTCTGTTTCCACTGTTGTTCTAAATGTTTGACCTGATGGATAAAGTCAAAGTACATAGTAAATATAATTATATGTGTTTAAAATTGTCTGGTATTGGTGTTAGAAGCAGATATTACCATCAGTCACACTGACAGTCGTTACTCTCTGAAACGTGGTCGATTCTTTTCTGAACATCTGCAATGGCAGAGAATAATAGAGTATTTAAGACCTTCACATTTATGTGATAAATGTAAACATGTAATACCAAGCTAATTAATATGTCAAAATCAACTTATATGAAGGTGAAATCATATGAACAAATGGACAGTAAATTTAGAGATCTGGAACAAAGAGGAGGAATAGTTAGTAATTCATTGTGGATGGAGATTGTAGAAGTGTTACCATCAGTCACACTGACAGTCGTTACTCTCTGAAACTTGGTCGATTCTGTTTCCTGAACATCTGCAAAAGCAGAGGAAACATTTAGACCTTTCACACGTTTGTTACAAATACAAATGTGTGATGCCAAACTGGTAACCACTTGATTTCTGTCAAGGGTCAGAAAACAAAACTTTATAAAGCTGAAACTATATTAAGAAAATAGGATTGACAGACTAACATTTAATATTTAGAGTTCATTGATCATAGGGAGAGTTAATAACTTACTGTGGACGGTGACTGTAGACGTTTTGCTGTATGGAGACTGATGCAGTCCTCCACGCTTCACCATGTATAACATTTTAATTCAACCTCAGCAGGTGAAGTTTGATGTGTCATCATCAGGAGCTCACTTCCTGTAATCAGTGTTTGCTCACAGGAAATGCTTCTGGACATCTTTGAGTTTATGAAATATAAAAAACAATTCTCCACAGAAACAGATGAAGGATTCCCACAGTTCACTGTGACTGAGTCTGAAACTGTGATCTGCTGTGGATCACAGTCAGTTCAGGTGGAGGAACTGAAAACATAAACAAGATCAATAGTTTAAAATCAGTCATCTGTATTAGTTCATCACAGTTGTATTTACTCACATTGTATGATGATGGTGAGCAGGTTACTCTTTGGAGATTGGTGTAATTTCAGGTAAAAACATGTTACATCAATGTTAGCTGGTGAACTTTGTTTGGTTAAAGACAGAAGTTCAGCTCCTATCATCGTCTTCAGACAAGAAAATCTTTGGTGTATGTTTTCTCTCCCAAAGTAGAAATGACAATTTGGAAAAGAAGATGGAGGCTGACAGTTTAAAGTGACTGAGTCTGACTCTGTGATCACCAGAGGATTCACTATCAGTGTGGGGGGAAGAAGATCTGGAAATATGAGTAAAGAAAACAGAAACAAACAGGTAAAAGTTAATGCATGATGGATTTCCAATATGTTCTTAATCAATGTTGCTACAATTTTTGATAACCAGATGACTCACTGTTTATGGTGATGTTGTTGATTCTGTCTGACAATGTGGTACTGAGAGCATCATTCATTTTAACGTAGGAACATTTAACTTTGACATCAGCTGGTGATCTTTTATTTAACATCCTTAACATCTCAGATCCTGTCAGTGTTTTCACACAGGAAGAGTCTGAAAACTTCTTGTTGTTTTCAAAGTAGAAATCACACCGAGACACAGAAACATTTGGCGAACACTTCAATGTGACTGAGTCGGTTTCTGTCATCACAAGTCGATCCACTGTTAGGTTTGGTTGAGGAAGAGCTGAAAGTTCAAAAGGTGTTTAGATATCAACTTTTATCAGAAAAGAAACATTTTATTTATCCAAAGATACTTAATTGAAACTAACCTTCAGCTTTTGCTTCATGAGTCAAATCTATAGAAAATGAGACAAAGAAACAACATTTGCATCTTTTCTGACTGGAAAGTAAAATGTAATACAATTGTAGCAAAAAGTAAATACTCAGACTTTATATTAAAGAGTAGAACATAATATCAATGACAATAAACTAAACTTACGGAGGAGGATGAAGAACAGCAGCTGTAAAGCCATGATGAAGCAGTGAATGTCTTCCTACTGTGACTTTTACCTATATTTGGTTTCAAAAGACGTTAAAATAAACCACATGATCAGCAGAGGACCCTCCTACTGACCACAGGAACAAAAACTCACATATAAATAGTTCATCCGTATCTTACACCACCTAAACCTACAACATGAACCATTTCACTATCATCATTTTACTGACATTGATATTTTAGTAAAGTTTAATGCTTTGGTTCTGGATCCGCTGCATGGAGTCACTTTACAAGTTCAGTACATAAAGTTTTGTGGTTTAAATCGTCATTTTCTATTGAAAGCCCTCACTGAGAGGTATCTGTTCACAAATCTAAAAATAGCAAAAACACTATCACATATCAGTAAAACTATCTACATTGTTTTGTGTGATTCAGTCTTATATGAACCAGTCGCTGTTTAAACTGGTAAAGACAGATGGTCTCAGTAACATGTTGATATATTTATTATATTTAGCCCTCTGTACAATAGCTTATTGTCTGCTTGCTTCATATGAGCCTCAACAAAACTGAAGAGGTGGTAAATTTCCAGCTCCAGATTAAATTCAAAAACATATTTCCTAAATCTTTTCCAAACACTTTGGTTACTTGTTTGCGTTTATCAGACTAGATGAGGTAATCAAAGGTTCAGTTCCTCTAAAAGCCAAACGCTGATGTTCCTGTAAAACGGACTAACATTAATAAAAGACAGCAGAATAAAAACAAATGCAAAATTTATTTGTATAGAACAAAATTTAAACATGATTCACAAGGATTGAACTCAACAAAGTAAGCAATCATTAAAAAGACAAAATAGATCTTATGCTTCTGGAGCAAAAACAAATATAGATAAAATAAAACACAAAATATATGACGGTGAGTTAATCTTTCAAGTCAAAAACCTAAAATGAAATTATTATTTTTTGGTCGTTATGTATTCTCTCAACATATGTGGCAGTAGAAATGGGTCAGAGATGTGAAGTCGTTCTCTTCCTGTAGGTTTGTACATTTTTTATAATTATTTATGAGCAAATTACATTTTATTCATCATGGCATTTTTAACAGATTTTATACGTATTTTTAATGAAAACATATAAAAAAATTATGGTAAATTCAAACAGCTTTGTTATAGAGATGCTGCTGTATTTTAAAATTACATGAGATAAAACAAGTTTGGATGGATGAGGTTCAGTCGTCACTCTGTGAAAACAAAGAAACATTTTGTAAAACTCTTATTCAGTTTTGTTTTAGCATTGGTAACATATCATGCCGATGTTGTTAAACTTTAAGATTTTTACTTTTATTCTTAAGAAAACATGTGATTTCTTTTTTCTTTTGCAAATATCTGTAGAAACAGGTTTTTATGTTTCAACCTTATTCAACAGAACAGCGCCATCAAGTGGCCAAACTACCAATCAGTGATCATTACACATCATTGCCAGAGACAAACTCAGAGTTACAGCTGCAGGCAGCAGCGCTGTAGGATCGTCACATCCTGCCTGTAAATGTTTTAATAATAAGTTTGAAAGACGCAGGACAGTCTGCACTGAGACAGAATGACTCTGAGATTCATCGTTTTAACAGAAGAAGAAATTTAACAAACCATCTCTGTTGTTCAGACCAGACATCTGGATCTGCTCCACTGGAAAATGACCAAAAGGAAAAATCACCATTAATAGTACTGCTGTCTGGTAAAGGCATCATAACACAATTTATTGTTGATGAGCAAAACGTTTTATTTTCTTTACCTGAAACTTCAGCTTTTGATCTGTGGCAACAGACAAGAATTAATCTGTTGTGTTTTTAATAAAATTGACATAAAAAATGTTTGAAAATGATTTGAATCCAAACAAAAGTCTACAAAAAATCAGCAGAAAAAACCCAAACATCACCTCTCCACAACAAGGTTTGATACTTGTTATGACGGCTTTATACTAATAATAACCGGAGTTTAATTTAAAATAAAAAAAACACACACCACATTTACAATAACCTCAAGCATTTTTACTTTAGTTCAGAAAGATGCAGCCTTGCTAACTTAAGCTGTGCGTCCATCTTTATTTTCAACATAATAAATAAACTATTGCACACCAAACCATATTTTTTGTTCACTTTTGATAGTTTTTTTAACACACTGGAAGCTCTAAGCTTTCTGCAGGGAGCCATTATTAACGATTTAAAGTAGAAGCAGAGGCTCACAGAAAACATTTGACTGATATGTTAGAGTGATTGTTGATTTTATACCTTTTCGGTGTGTAGTTAACATTGTTTATGCTAGTGGACTTAAACAAGAGTTTTTTACTGTCCATATCCAAGACAATGTAAACCATAATAATAACTGAGATTTTCAAAAAACAACCAACATTTAAATAATTTCTAAAAATTATTTGAAAATTACATTTTCTTACCTTTTTGAAAAACATTTCTCTAGAAGAAAAAGAGAAATACATATTTTTTTATTAACTTTCTTTGGGAAAGAACTATGCCAAAGAATTTGTTAAATGTAGTAAATATTTAAGCAGATGTAGATGTAACTTGTATTTAAAAGGGTATTTAAATTCAGTTATTGCTATATCTGCATCCTTACCCATTCTGCTTATGCAACATTTTAGAGTCAATCCAATCAGGATTAAAGAGATCAATCCAACTGCAATGAACCTCCAGATCATCATCACTGCATGAAGAGATGAAAGTTCAGCACTTATTGTAGAAATAATCACATCTTTGTCATCAAGTAATATTTAAATATTACAGGACACAAAATTTTTACTATATGTCTTTAATATGTATTGTTTCTTTTAGGATGTGTACTGTTTATTTTTATAATATTCATTGTGAAGCTCAGATACTTGATTTGTTTCCAACTATTGATAAAAAGATTACTTTTAAATTGAAACAAATAAAGTTGCATCCTGATGTAATAAGTTTTGAAGCTGTTGTTCAGACGCAGATCCTACCAGTGGAAACTGGGAACACTGGGACGATGGTCTGGGAGGTCGTCAAGTCTTTCTGGGCAGGGGTCAAAGGTTGTGTGAGTAAATCTGACTCACTTACATCAGTTATGTGACTCACTAAGAAAAGTAAAATAAGGAAGAGAGAGCTTTGTCATTTTAAAGTCTATGTAAAAATCTGGTTTCCAATATCTTTGATATTAAACTTTGTATGATGCTCTAAACATTTAGGCATGACAGAAAAGTAATAAATAGACATCTGGAAGAAGAAAAATACTTTTTCACAGCAATATTCCTGTGTAAACTATAGCAAAGTGTAATATATACAGCAGCTTTTCTGCATTAATGTTTTCAAATGAGAAAAAAGTATCAAAATCATGAAACATTTTCAAGTGTATAAAATGACCTGGTGCCTCTGATGGTGACGTTGACAAAGTAGAAACTGAGCCTAAAGTGTTGACTGTGGTACTTCCACTTGTATCTGAAGAAAACACAGAAAAACATAAAAATGTTCAAAATTTCATGTCCAAAGGTTGAAGCTGACAATGTTTCTGAAGTTTTGACTGACCTGTTGTACCAAATAATGAAGGATTCACTGATGATGGGGGATCAGAAAATGGACTTTCTGTTTCCACTGTTGTCCTAAATGTTTGACCTGATGGATAAAGTCAAAGTACATAGTAAATATAATTATATGTGTTTAAAATTGTCTGGTATTGGTGTTAGAAGCAGATATTACCATCAGTCACACTGACAGTCGTTACTCTCTGAAACTTGGTCGATTCTGTTTCCTGAACATCTGCAACGGCAGAGGAAACATTTAGACCTTTCACACATTTGTTACAAATAAAAATGTGTGATGATAAACTGGTATCACCCTTGTTTAGCATTACAAACAATAATGCTAAACATTACTATGTTTAGCATTAAAACATTATTGTTTAGCATTAAACAATAATGTTTCATTACACCATCATCAGAAAACAATGACAATGTTTCTGACAATGACATTAATGTCATTGTTTTCTGATGATGGTGGTCAGAAGACAAAACTTTATGAAGCTGAAACTATATTAAGAAAATAGGATTGACAGACTAACAAATATTTCATATTTAGAGGTCATTGATCATAGAGAGAGTTAATAACTTACTGTGGACGGTGACTGTAGACGTTTTGCTGTATGGAGACTGATGCAGTCCTCCACGCTTCACCATGTAATAACATTTTAATTCAACCTCAGCAGGTGAAGTTTGATGTGTCATCATCAGGAGCTCACTTCCTGTAATCAGTGTTTGCTCACAGGAAATGCTTCTGGACATCTTTGAGTTTATGAAATATAAAAAACAATTCTCCACAGAAACAGATGAAGGAGTCCCACAGTTCACTATGACTGAGTCTGAAACTGTGATCTGCTGTGGATACACAGTCAGTTCAGGTGGAGGAACTGAAAACATAAACAAGATCAAATAGTTTAAAATCAGTCATCTGTATTAGTTCATCACAGCTGTATTTACTCACATTGTATGATGATGGTGAGCAGGTTACTCTTTGGAGATTGGTGTAATTTCAGGTAAAAACATGTTACATCAATGTTAGCTGGTGAACTTGTTTGGTTAAAGACAGAAGTTCAGCTCTTGTCAGCATCTTCAGACAAGAAAAGCTTTGTGGTAGTTTTTCTCTCCCAAAGTAGAAATAGCAATTTTTCACAGGAACAGATGATGGAGGTGACAGTTTAAAATGACTGAGTCTGACTCTGTGATCACCAGAGGATTCACTATCAGTGTGGGGGGAAGAAGATCTGGAAATATGATCACAGTAAAGTTATACACATGATGGATATCCAGCATAGCCATTCATCAACAGAAACACAAATCAGAATAAGACCCCCTTTTAAATTAGACTGCGTATCTGTTTACTCACTATTTATGGTGATTAATGTTGATGCACTGTCTAATGATTGTAGAGCTCCATCCTTTACAGTGTAGACACATTTAACTTTGACATCAGCTGGTGATCTTCTGCTTAACAGCCTCAGCATCTCAGATCCTGTCAGTGTTTCCTCACAGGATGAATTTGCTGACATTTCTTTGTTTTCAATGTAGAAATCACACAGAGACACAGAAACATGTGGAGCCGAACAATTCAATGTGACTGAGTTGGTTTCTGTCATCTCAAGTCGATCCACTGTTAGGTTTGGTTGAGGAAGAGCTGAAAGTTCAAAAGGTGTTTAAATATCAACTATTGTCACCAACAAAGAAAGAAAGTTGATATTCAGAATAGTTGATTAAGCAGTAATCTCTTCACAACAGTAAAATTTATATCAACACTGACCTGCTTTGGTCCCATAAAGGGAATCTGATAAAAAAAATTATTGAAAAGGAGACAAAGAAGCAACAATATTTAAACATGAGAATATTAACCTTGTTTGATGACAAAGTGCTATGGATCATTTCAATAATAAAGTAATTTACTGCAGGCTAAAGAAACCTATACTCACTGAAGAGGATGAAGAACAGCAGCTGTACAGCCATGATGATGCTACCAATGCACCGACACAGACGTGTTCCTGTTTTAGCCTTCACCCACAATAGGTTTCAAAAGTTGTTTGGGGGGAGAAAAATCCACATAATCTGAAGTGGACACACCTACTGACCATAGTAATTCAGACATCAATCCAATTGTGGTTTGGAGAACCACAACTGAACTGAACTGAAAGTTTAGATATACATGAACTACTTGGCCACATGTGCGTGTACAGTATGAGTCATTGGACGTGGAGCAATAATGTTTGCTTAATTTCTATTCTGTTTGGCAAAGTTTCAACTAGAGTTCACTGTTTAACCCTGCCGTAGTCTTAGCACGATGCTCACAAAGAGGGCAGCAGATGTCATGGACGGCCAACTTGGTGACTGCTCTTCGGAAACCACAAAAAACAATAACGTTTCACACAATTTGTAGACCTGTGACCAATGTGCTCTACAAAGAGACAGAAAGACAAGTTACCCTCATAAAATATGAGCATGAGAAGTCTGAAATAAATTGGTTGTGCATTGGCGGTTTCTGATATGGGCCACTGCCCAGGGCGGCATCTTGTGGGGAGCAGCATGGTCCTTTTTCTCAAAAATCCTTTCACAGAATGACAGCTCTGAGCTAACGTGAGACATGTGAGACTGTGATACAGTACAGTTAATTATCTTCAAACTTTATTGTTTCTTTTCAACAAAACATTTGTATTTCATTGCTTCTGCAGGAGTTTCTACATGAGTGGACTTAAGTGCCAGAGTCCTGAAACTTGTAGATGTGTTCTCTGTCCTACACATTTGAACTAAAAGGCAAAACCTCCTCACTAACATGCAATCAAGCTCCACAGAGCTCTGCTGATGACAGAGCCAGGTGTGATGAAGCAGAGACGTCCAAAAGTCGCAGAACTCGGGCCCTTTGGGGCCGGAGTTCACCACTCTACACCCTGTAACCCGCAGATGATGGAGGAGGTAAATCAGGGATGCTGCAGTACAGGCTGTTGACGTCAGACTGGAAAACAAAAACACCAGGATTTTTTTACACTTATATCATATAAGTTAAGTTTACAAACATCTTTTTTTGTGATCATTTTTTCGTACGTCTTCAGCTGAAGAATCTTCAACGGCGAATTGTTCAGAATCTGAAACAGTAGAAAATACAATTAACAGTATCAGGTTTGACTCTTCACTTTCTCTGTGATTATGAAGAACAAATTTACGATTTCCGTAAATATAAAAACAATAAATTATTTTTTGCAAATATTTTATTGCAAATGTATTTTTAGATCAAGTTCAAGTGGGTATCAAATTAAGAAAACTCACCTGTAAACGAGTCGGCAGCAGGTACAGGTGTGATCATGCTGTAGATGGCATCATTATGTAACTTGAAACAACGGAAAAGATTATGTCAATGGAAAATAAACAAAAAATACAAGCAAGATAATGCAATGTGAATGATTTAAAAAATAGTTTATTTACCATCTCTGTGTTATCAGTCATCTGTACAGACTGATCTTCAACAGGCATTAACATGATTCCTAAACACAAATATAAAGACTAAATATACATTAATAGGAAAAACAGTAGATATTTCAGGATCCTAGATGTGTATTACCTGTAATGTTGGTTTGTTTTCTAAGCAAAAATAAAAAAATGAAACAGATTTATTTAGTGAGGAGCAAAGCAAAATCAGATTTAGACAAATTAAGAGTTTATTTCCTGTCATGCGAGCATTTCAGAGAAAACTAAGTACAAAACCTTCTGATTTCTGAGGTCAAATTTGCTTTAAAAATTTGATAAAAGAACAATAATAGAAAGTCTTGACAACAGAAAGCCTTACCTCTCGTGTGATCCATTTTCTGAACAAATAAAAAGTAGAATCAATCAGATGATTTAGTTGTACTTAACCATTCACACTCCACAAGAATCAACACTTTAGATTCTGTTTTTATGCTGACAAACATCACTAATTTAATATTTATTTAAAAATCTTATGTTCAGCAACACATAAGCTTAACTTAGAAAAATCTTACTATATTTAAACCTTCATCAAGCGTATTATATTTGCAGTATGTCACTATAGCTGTAATTTATTTATTTTATATTGGATTTTATTTGTAAAAATTTCTCAGCAGAGCCCCAGAGACAAAAATTTTTAATGGATCTCCTTCACTAAACAAAGGTTTCAATGTTTCTCACCAGTTCTCCTTTTGGCTCTGAAACACGCTGCCACCACCAAGATGAAGATCACAATCACTCCTCCCACAGCTGTCGTGATTATTAAAGTCTTCGTGTCTGTTTTAAAGGTCATAAAGTTTCACTTTGACTTTCAAACCACAATCGCTTTGTGCTGCTGCAACACTCACCATCTGACTCCAAATCTCAAACATCTGTCAGCTAAGATTTCACTACTAAGCTTTACATAAACGTCAAAAACAAAAATACTACACACATATTAATTAATGATTCAAGTTGAAAATAACTATAATTCATATTGTGATGCAGAGTGATGCATGCAGCAGAAACCGTTCAGAAAACTTCAGCTTCTTTAGATTCAAAAGGTTATAAACCTTAAAATAGTTTAAATAGTTTACTGAAGAATGCGCAATATCAAACAGGTGTATTAAAAAATATATAAAATAAGGATAAAACCAAAACAGACTATCTTAATACTGACAGTAAAACAAGAATCTCACCCAGATTTTTGCCCGTAGGTTCATGATTTCCTGCTTTTTCTGTAATGTCCGCCACTTTATAATTAGAAGTGACATTTGAAGACTCATCTCAGTTTAATCAAATGTATACACGATATTATCTGCTTTTGACAGACATCTTAAATACCTGCAGTATCAAATATGATACACACATTTTAACAGGTTTTAAATGAAATATAACAAAAAAATTTCTAAGTAATTGTGCATTGTTTGGCTGCGTTGACATTGTGATCTCAGGTAGCAAGACAATAACAGTTTTATAAGAATATATTTCATCGTTACCATTGGTGGAAAACACTGAGTTCGCTGAGCCGGTGGTCGTTGTAGATCTTGTTGGTCTCGTCCTGATATCAGTTACTTTTCCATCTACAAAGAGAAAACAGGTTTATATAAATAAAGAATCTAATAATTTTTGTAAAACTGGCTCCAGAATATTTTCTGTATATTTTCAGCTTTCTGCACTAAGAAGTGTAATTTTAGTCAAATAGAATGAACTTTATATACATAAACCTGTTTTCTGCACACAAAAAATACATTTTACAGATTAGTTGTAAAAATGTCAACAGACTTAGCGCCACCAAGTGGTTAAAGTATTTATCTTCTAATTTGCCTCTGGAAATAATAGTATGTACTAGGAAATCTAACTAATGTTTTTGAGAAGATATTTGATTTTGTTTAATTTTCGGGGTCTCTTTCATTAAATCTCTTAAGGTCTTTGAGGGATTTTTAACCCTTGATTTGCTGGAACCTGCAGTGAGACACGCTGAATATACACGTTCATCTTGCATCCAATCTGTTTCCTCTGTTGTTTTGAGAAGCTGTGTGTTTATTCAACATTTCATTTTGTTTTCCTGTCTTTGACTTACTGTCATGTAGGATGTTTAAAAGAAGCTTGCTTAGACTTGTGCATGACTGAATTTTCAAAGTGGAAAATCTCAAAAATATTTAGGTGAAAAAATAATTGTAATATGTTCATACTTATAATTATGTACATGTACACTCACCAGTGAAGCTGTATGGATCACTACGAGGTGACAAAGTTTTCCTGTCATCTTTCAACCTATAATCGCAGCTGGCTTCCTTCTGTTGAACCAAACGTAGATGCTTCACTAATTCATTTTCTTTAATGACAATCCGACAGAACTGATGGGTTTCTGAGCTCGTCTTGTTCCATGTCGTTATTGTTTCAGTTGGATGGTTTGATTCTCCAAAGTACAGGTTACACGTGGTGTTTTTCACCAATCCAGGCAGATAGCAAAAGAAAAGAGCGTGTACACCTTTAAGATAGTATACTCTCAGCTGTGGTTTTAGACCTGCAGAAGAAATCATTTATGGGAAAGTAAAATATGTTATATGTTGTGGCAGTAAACCAGAGCTGATAACTTTTCCTGTAAAGCTTTGACAAGTTTTCATAAACAAAATCGTTAATAATTTAAAAAATGAGGCAGTGACCTACCTATAGTAATATGAGCCAGATCACTGTCAGGAGATGGAGAATTTCTGTCCTCGTACTTCACAATATAAAAACATCTCACTTCAACCACAGACGATGAATTTTGCTTTGCCATGGACAGCAGCTCAGTTCCTGTTAATGTCTTCATGCAGGGGAAAGGTGTCAGAGTTCCTCCATTCACATGGAAATAACACTGATTCACAGAAAAATGATCTGGAGCCTGACAGCGTAATGTGACTGAATCTGTTTCTGTGATTATTGATGAATCCACTGTTAGTTTAGCCTGAGGAAGAGCTAAAATAGAGACACAGGGTAAAGTATTGATGAATCAAGATTAAAACATTTCCAATAGTAAAGTATTCTTTCATCTGAAATAAAACAAAAAGCTTTTTGCTGAGCCTTTAAAATATTAGGTGACTTTACTAGCAGTAATAAATTGCACAGTGATAACATCAAAAACTGACCTTGTTTGACTTGCACCTCTTGAAAAGAACCTGTTTGAAAGAAAAATGTAACACAATATTTATCATCTCTAAAGATTTATCATCTCTAAAGATAGAATGAACTGGTACATTATAAAGTCACAGTTGCGTGCTGTGACTTTAACAACAGATTATTCTCAGAATAAACTGCACAGCAAAGCCAGTGAGGACAAAGAAAGTTATATTTGTGTGTATTTATATTCATCAGTGTAAATTCACTGATGTTGAGAGAAAGGAGGTAAATTAACTTACCCAAAAGAACGATAAAAAGCAGGCATCTCCCCATGATGAAGGCAGACTTCAGCTGGTCATAACCTTTGAGAGAAGATACGTTTCTGACAGCAAGAAAGATAAAGATCAGAAGAACTCAAAGATACAACCCACAAATATGACTGACAGGAAAACAGTTTCACTCCAAAAGCAACATCAGAGAAGATTTCAGTGCAAATGGACTAAAATCTGGGACAAATACTTTAATTTTTGCTGATTATTATGACAATTTGTTACATTTCAATGGTAATTACTCAGGCTGAAGGTAATGACAATGATCATCTAATTAATTGTCATATTTTGAATTAGCAGCAAACTATTATTCTTCACTGATTAAGTCCAAACTCATCTCTTTAGATTTGATAAATGCAAGATAGTTGGCTTCACACATTGCACAATGTTTTTGTTTCAGAAAACATTTTTAGCTTTTGAAACAGATTAAAGAAAAATCTAGTTTTATAAATTGAATTTTGCTGCATTATGGATAAGTAAGCAAGTGCTAAAAGAGACAAAAAATATATGATGTAGTTACATTTTTCTGTCGTTCTGATTATGTCTCTGAGAGCAGAGATAATCTAGAATTTAAAAAAAAATTAAATATGTTTTTACTGGACATGCAGATAAAACATAAAATGAATTTCATAAACTGATTTAATGAACTGGTAGCAATAGCAAAGACCCAGAAACAGATTAAATGCATGTTCTAATCTGGAAAGTTACAACTAGCTTTCATGTTGTGCTGTGACAGAGAAGCTTCAGAAATTTAATAAAATAAAAAAAGCAGGGTGATGCAATCATGGGTGCAAATGCTTGCACCCATGCAATCATTTGCTGTTTCTCTAAGGTGAAGATTAGATCTCAGACTATGCAGATGCTTGCAGCATGGTCGGTTCTTTGTACACATCAAAGAGCCGTCAGTGTAAGCGTCTATGCATGCACACAGAGAAGTGAGAGAAAACCTTGGTGTCTTTTCTAGAAGAAATATCCACAACCTGCCTCTGAAAAGCAAAGTGGGTGTTTTTCATTCATCCCCAAATAAACCACTGTTAACTGGTGTCAGGGTCACTCACTTCAGGTTTCCACTCAAGAACATCAGTTCAGCACTATCTAAAGCCTCAAGGTGTCTGATGAACTAGTTGCAAAGTTTAAGTAAATTTGGTAAATACAATAGAAATGTATATTTGGATTATGGCTATGATTTACAGCCACTTTGTGCAAATATATGTATATATAATTCTCTGAAAATACTCATTTAATTACTATAATTTCTTTTCTATGTGCTGTACAGACTAGAGTTACTTTATGGCGCCATCAAGTGGCTGATCATGTTGACTTTTTTAATCACAAATTTTAATATAAGTTACATCTAACAGCCTCAGGAAAGTATTTATACCACAGCAAAAAAAGTCAAGTTGAACTGAGAAGTTGTTCAGTATAAAAAAACTTTTCAATGAATGTAAATCTGTCTGCTCTATTTCACATCTAGAAATGTGATTGTATTTTTATCTGTGAATAGAAATTTAAGAATGACAGACTCAGTTTTTTAAATCAAAAATTTAATAGAAAAATTAAACCCAAATCCTCAGTTTCTGTCTCACATTAAGAGAGAAACCTCTCCAGCTTCCCTCCCATAGGGTGTGTATGGAAAGCCACTCTGACCCTTTCTGCCTCCCACCTGCCCATTGAAATGGAAAAAATAATCTGCAATCCTGCATTGGATGAAATGCAGTTCTGTAAAAAGCATGTGACGTAGGATCCATATCTAGAGCAATAAGGAACAGAGGCAGGGATTCATTTGAGTCGGTTCCTGTAGCGACAGGATCCAGGAACTCTTATTTTGACGGTGCGTTCCAGTAACAACACGGCCACTGAGGAGCTTTACATAAAGCTGTCCCTTTAAGGATATTATTAGTCTGCAAATGACTTATGGACAAAAATTCACCAGTACATCCAAAAATATGCATTAAAATGTTTTATACAACTTTTTTTCTTTCATTATGGATCATCTTCATGCAATATAGTTTACCTTTACAGTGTTTTAACTTCTGTTAAAAGTGACTATTTATGTTCAGATAAAATCCAAAATACATAAAAAGGTAAAACATTGATTTGAATTGTGACATGCTTAACTTTGAAGCTTAAAATAAGAATAAAACATTATGAAATAAAAGATGAATAGCAGATATGCAGCCATGATAATGTGAATTTTCTGAAACAGCTTTTTTCATTTCACTTCTTTGACTTTTTCACTTGTAAGAAGCTTCAGAAAAGCTCTCAGGAAATCCGCCTGCGATGCAGCGACTCGCCTCAGCATCACAAGACCACATAAGAGGTACAAGTGTGTGAAAGTTTGTTAAGCTTTGGCTTTAATATTCAAATACTCTTTGTGCTGAAGGTCAAGTTCGGAATATGTACAAAGTTAATCTTTGTTTTTCAAAAATCTCTTTTGAAAAACAAATCTCATTTTGGGGTGTTTTTCATTTATTTCTCTTAAATGTAAAGAAACAGCTCAACATGAAGCCCTTAAGTTTGAAAACGACACAGCAGAGTTTGGTCTGGTCCTGGACGGCGAAGCGTCCAAACAGCAGGAGAGTCGGCTGGTCTGAACAGAACCACCTGGAGCTGAACTCGCTCCAGGATGTGGAGACGATGGTGGCTTCCTGCAGGTCACTGCCTCACCAAACACTTGGTCAACTTTGGATCACCTCCATTATATTACAGCCTTTGACATTTTTTTAAAAATCTTGTATAATCTGGCTTGTTTGACAGTGAGGTTGAAGCTTTATCCACCGCATTTCCTGTTAAACTTTCAACTCGAGTCAAACACTCCTGATGTGAGCAACATCCACGGAAACACACAAGCACAAAGGAGATCTGAATAAAACAGTTTTCACAAATTATTTCAGAAATTAAAAACACTAAACTTTGTAAAACAATGTGATGTCTAAAAAGTGTTGATATTGAGCTCACATAAACAACACAATTAAATCTACCAGTTATACTTGAGATGAGAGAGTAAAATAAATCCCCTGGGATGAATATCCAAATCTTTAACATGTTCTGTTTGTTCATCGGGTTTCTGTAACAAAAGTCTTTTGCAGAACAATAAATCAGCACAAAATATATAATCAGTAGTTATAATATAACTACTGATTATCTTCAGGGAATTAATTTTTTCTCCATGAAAATGTGACTCTGCAGGAGGCAGTACTCTCCGTCGCCCTGTGCTGGTGGAGGAGGGAAATCAGGGATGGTGCAGTAGACGTGGTAGACGTCAGACTGGAAAAGAAAAACAGCAGCTGTGAGAACTACTTACATTTACAACATTTCCTGCCAACTTCACAAACATCTTTTCTGGAGAAAATTTTCTCGTACATCTTCAGTTTGTGGTTTTCCGGTGGCAGATTTCCCAGGACCTGAAAAATAAGGAAGTATAACTAATATGAGTCAATATCTTTGTTGTTTGTGTGAATCCATTATTTCTACAAAATTTAGACAGTAAGTATTTTATATATTTACTTCAAGATCAATAGTTGGATGAATTTATTAAATTCTTTTAAATATCACTAAGCAGTAAAAGTAATAATCACATATTTAGTGTATGTGTCTCAAAAGGCTTAAAAGAAAACCTTTACATAAACCTTAAAAAACTAATTTTACTGTTTATTTATTTATTTAGGAAACGTTTTATTGTTGATATATGTTCAGATAAATTTCAAGTGAAAATAAATAAACTCACCTGTAGGACGATGAGCAGCAGGTCCAGATGTGATGACGCTGTAGACGCCATCTTCATCTACTGGTAACTTTAAATATGAGGAAAAGGGAAAATGAAGAGAAAATAATCCAAGCAAGATAATGAGATAATACTCATCTTAAAATATAGTTTATTTACCATCTCTGTGTTATCAGTTGTTTTCACCCACATAGTCTGATCTGCAACATAAATTTAACAAAATTTGTTGTATAAAAACAACAAACATTGGTGTTTAAGTACACTGCAAATATATAATTACCTTTAAGGTTGGATTTTTTTCTGCAGAATGATGAACAAAAACAGATTTATTTAGTCACTGTGTGCATTACATTCAGCAGGAAAACAAAATATGACCTAGACTTAACTAAACTAAACAAAAGTATATTTCAGCAGATACAAAGTATAAAACCTTCTGATTTCTGAGATTAAAGATAAAAATTGATCAATGCGGTCAAGACAAACACATTGTGCCCATTGTGTGAAAAGAGGAAACAGAGCAAGTTTCTAATATGACTCAAAGTTCAATTTCAGGCTGAATGTTGAGTTGATTCTTTTCCCAGGTGGACATTAACATCAGACACCAGATGGCTACTGGTTTGAAATATCTATGTGGAAATCTTGATATTGTTGAATTAATCTCACACTACTAAAGCAGTTGGTGGTTCCATGAGTGACAGAAGGGGCCCTTTGTTCCCACTGACCCCCAAAATGTCTGTGTTAATCATTGAAATGCAATATTTAAAGTTTCATTTAGATAACTTGCATGAAACTTTTTTCATCATTTAACAAATTCATCCCAGCTATTAGTGAGCGTTCATTTATGAGAATCTGATGAGAACAAGACAGTCTTACCTGTTGGACAATCCTTTTCCTGGAAACAGGAAGTAGATTATTTTGTTGTACTTATTAGCAATTCACACTCTATGACTCATGGCTCATACTTCTGTTTTTATGCTTTATTAAAGCATCTGCATTCATTAATATCTAAAACCTTTGTATTCACTGCATAAAACCAGAAATCCAACATGTCTCTGCTATAAACAGTTAAAATGAAAAAATAACTTCTGCACACCTTCCATATCCTACTTTCATGCTGTCACAGTCGTGTAAGTTTTCAGATTTTCTTCAAAGTTATTTATAAACTCAGTTGGGTGTTCTGGACATTTGTTTCTCACCAGTTCCTCTTTTGGCTATGAGACACGCTCCCACCACCAGAATGAAGACCACGATCACTCCGCCCACCGCTGCTGTAATTATCAACGTCCTCAGATCTGTTTTAAAGATCATAAACAAGTTTCACTTTGACTTTCTCACAGGAATCGTTGTGTTGTTGCAACACTCATCTAGATGCATTCTGCCTTCATAGCTCAAAAATGTTATTATTATGATATTTATAAATTGCACGAGCAAAAATACTAAATTAATTTTAATTTAAAAAACAACGTTGTTAGGACTTTAATGCACAGAGATGCATAAAGCGGAAACATTTAGAAACTTCAAGATTCGTCTTTAGAGTCTAGTGGTTAGAGTGTTAGTGTTCACTAACCACTTTAGTTTAAACATCTTGCTGCAAACAGCTGTTTCTGTCATTGTTTGTAGTGAACTGCAAACAGTGAACAGCATCTCATTAGTGTAGCTCAGGCCATTGGTCACACCATATTTTATTTAGGGGCATTAGTGTTTTGGGCACTAAATAGAAATGCATAGTCATGTATTGCTCTCCTTCCTTTCCACAGACCTGAACCACTTTGTGTTCATAATATTTATTTTGTACTGGGAGAGGAGGCGGTCCAGACCTTTTTGTCAGAGTACAATGCAACAAAGAAACAAATCAAATTAGACAAAAAGCATGTTTTTATACATGTTTTCAGAATATAATATGATTTTTATTTCTGATTAATACAATAATAGATTTTCCTACCTGATGTAGAAGTGGTCTCACTCTTTGTCGTCTTTGTGGCACCTAAACATAAAAAACATGAAACTATCACAATGTTCTGGGTCACTGCAGTTATTCTGGCATCTTCACTCATTCCTGTGGTGAAAACTGTGACGGTTGTTGGAGGGATTGAATCTATTGGGGAGCTCACAGGAAGTTGATTTGTGAAACTATTAGATCTAAATTTATCTTAACTAATTTTCAAGAAACATAAAAAGTGCTAAAGGTGACTGAAAATAAGTGTTGAAAGATTATAGAGAGAATAAATTTCAAACATCGAGCTAACCCTGAGAAGTAAGAACAATATAAATGTAAATGTTGAACGACTCAAACAAAACGATGTGTTGTAAAACCAACACATTGAGATGTTGATATAATTTCAGAGAGCAAGGCAATGACTTTTTACCCTGTGTGGACAGAACAGCGTCTGACGAACCTTCAGTCTTCGTTGATTCTCCTTCCACATCACCTAAAATTAGAAAACAGATTCTCAGTCAGTCAAATAAATAAATGAAAGTTACACCAGACAGACAAGGCTTTCTTTACACCAGTTTACATTAACTTGCCAATAAAAAGATTCCTCTCAGTCTTTTTATAAATTACATAATCCTTAAAGTAAAATCACATCACATTTGCATCCTTTGCTTTTTTTTCAGCTTAAAACACAATAAACATGAAATAAAACACAATAAACAAAAATATGAATATTTTCATAGATAGTCTCAATGTTAAGACTGATTATTACACATTAGTACATTTTCCTACCTGACTTAGTAGAAGTGGAAATACTGGGGATACTTGTCAGCTTTGTCGTACCTATAAAATTTATAAAATATTCACAATGTTCTGGATCACTGCTGTTACTTTTTTTATTTTTTTGTAATATTTTTCTCCAAGGATTTTTGTTGGCTCTACTGGCCTGTATTTTATACAGGAAGTAGGGGTGGTGAGAGGGGATGTCGCCGGGGCCGGGAGTCAAACCTGCGACCGCGTCGAGGACCAACTAAGGCCTCCATACGTGGGTTGTGCTAAAACCTTACACCACCACAGCAGACCAACTGCTGGTATTCTTACCATGTTTCTCCTTGCCTGTGGTAAAAATTGTGACACTTCTTTGGGTGACTGATTCTGTTGAGGCAACAAAGAGAAGTGGATTTGTGAAAACTTGAATTGCAGTTGTTGACATTTATAAACTCATGTTCATTCTGCTGTCATCCAAACTACAACATTTACCGTTAAACTACCCATATTATCTTGTTATTCAATGTCCAGAGTAAATAATCTGGTAGATTTTTTAAAGCTTTTTAGCTGTTCAAAGCAGAGGTATAAAGAGCATTTGAAAGATAATTTTTATTTCAATGATTGCTATAAATTCTGAAGCTTTACTTAATTATTGCAGGTTTTGGTGACTTTTCTTTTTCTCACTGTGCCACTTATTTGTGATTAAGCTGTTTAAAAATTGCTTTATTAGACTGTTTACTGCAGCCTGCTGAAAACCAAAACATTAGGATGCTGATATTATGACCTCAGTACAGAAAGAAAGACAACAACATTTTTCTAAAGTATATTTCATCTTTACCCTGGTTGGGCCAGACAACGTTCGATGAGCCTGTGGTCTTCGTAAAGCTTGTTGGTGTTGTGATGATCTCAGTTAAATCTACTTCTGCAATACCTAAAATTAGAAAACAGATTTTGTCGGTTTCAAGTTCAACTAAATGAAGAATCTTTATGATACAGCTCATTCAAGGATTATTTAGATTTCTTGTAGAGATTATATATAAATAAATACACCATTAAATGTTAAACAACATTATACAAGTGAAGGAAACAAGAAGGATATATTATTCATAACTGCAACTTTTACCAGATACACAATTGAAACCAGAAGTTTTCTTACACTGAATAAAAACACATATTACTTTTCGCTATATGTTTGAGGCACATCATTCAGGATTCGTCTGAATGATCTCAGTCTAATCCAGAATCTGGGACGTTTTGATCCTGGAGGCTCAACCTCACATCTTACAAGACTTAAATCATCGACTGCCTACATCTTGCTGCCAGATACAAAACCAAACCTATGACGGCCCCGAGACGTTCATAACTTCATTAAAAACAACAGGGATTTGTGAAAATATATGAATATGTTTTAAAATATTTACTGTATTCATGTTTGACTCACCTGTAAATCTGTATGGATCACTGCGAGGTGACAAAGATTCCCCATTTCTTTCCAATCTATAATCACAGCTGACCTCATTCCTCTTAGTTGAACGTAAATGATTCAATAATTCATTTTCTTGAATCTCAGTAAAGCAGAACCACTGATTGGTCTTTGAGCTCTTTGTCTTTAATATTGTTGTTGTTGCTGCTGGACGACTTGATTCTCCAAAGTACAGATTACATGTTGTATCATGTTTCACAGATCCAGGCAAAGAGCAGGAGAAGGCAGCAAACTGGCCCTTAAGATAGTTTACACTCAGTTGTGGCTTAAGACCTAAAGAAAAAGTAATTGGTGTCAACAGGAAAAGTAAAATATGTTACATGTCTTTGACATTGAGTTTATGATTCAATTCCAGCTATGAAATCACACCGCTAAACTTTTCCTGTTTAGTTTTGATAAGTTTTTATTAATTAAGCTAAACTTGAACCTGTCCAAGAATGAAGCAGAAACTTACCTATATTGATATAGGATGGATCACTGTGGGGAGATGGAGAATTTAAAGCTTCAGATTTTACAGTATAGAAACATTTCACTTCAACCTCAGGGTCTGAACTTTGTTTTCTCATCGACAGCAGCTCAGTTCCTGTAAACGTTTTCATGCAGGGGAAACGTGTTTGAGTTCCTACATTCACATAGAAATAACACTGATACACAGAAACATGAGCTGGAGCCTGACAGCTTAATGTCACTGAATCTGTTTCTGTGATTGATGATGAATCCGCTGTTAGTTTAGCCTGAAGAAGAGCTGAAATAAAAACAGAGATTCAAATGTTCAGTTACTATATGAATAATACGATATTTTCCTATGAGAAATTATTCTTTAATCTATAATAAAATGAAACGTGTTGGATTGGATTTAAGCATTCATGAGAACTGAAACTAGCATAAAAATATAAAAATAAAACAAAGCATAGCAACAATTAAAACAGTCAAACACAAATATAGAGTAATCTCAACATAACATGGGAGTTGGATCTTTCAAATTAAACTTTGTTTAAGATATTTAATCATTTTAAAAAAGTAATAACACAGCTGGACATAAGAAACATCAAAAACTGACCTTGTCCTTTCAACTCTTTACAGGAACCTGCTTGAAAGAAAGTTTAATGAAATACTTGCTTGCTTAAATTGAAAGACTGTAAATTTACACTGAACTGCATTTTAAAGCCAGAATAAAAAAGAACAATTAGTGCAAATATTTTCATTTGAAAACTGCAGAATAATCTACACAGCAGTAGCATTCAGTCAGTAAAACCAAATTAAATTATGTGTTGCACGTATCTATCAGTAAAAACTCACATTGATGTTGAGAGAATGAGGAAAATTAACTTACCCAAAAGAACAATAAAAACTAGACATCTTATCATGGTGAAACCAAAGTAAACTGATCAAAACCTGCAGAGAAGAAAAGCGTCTGACTGCATGAAGCTGAGAGACTTTTTCTGTTCACTACTTGCAGGAAAACCACAGAGAGCATCAGCATAACTCAATGGTACAACCCACAATCACATACAACTTGTTCAACCTTTAATAACTTCCAGTGTATTTTAAGTCTAAATGTTCAGTCACTTATGTTTCCTTACATTTGTACAAAGTATCTTCACTTTTATATTAATGTATTTCTCATCTGCACAGTAATTCTGTTTCACCTTCTTCAAAGTTACCATTGTTCCTGAGTTTAACTGAGATATAACCACCTCCCATCTGGCCATGGTGATCATGCATGTTAACAGTCTGCTGTAATTAACCCCACCTTGACCCCAAACACAACAACACCAGTGGAGAAAGTAGGTTGACTTTTGTTTATTATTTTCATTAAGGCTGAGTTGATCATTAATAAACATTTCTTATTCAGTTACTGGTAAAATTATTCATACATAAAACCTGGGTTGAATGTTGTGTTTTAATTTTAGTAATAAATTTTTTATGCATAAAGTAACATTAAGGTCAGAGTCCTGCCTCAAATATGAGAGGATCAGGGAGCTAAAGATTAGGGTGATGGCAAGGAGGCATTCTAGTCACAAAGACTAATCATTAATACACTGGTGCAAACATTCAGGAAGATCAATAGTAATTATCACAAGTATTGATTCCTGTAATAAAGAGTTTTCTGTTGATACATGACTATGAAAGAAATTATTTCTAACACAACATTTTTAACAAGTAACTAAAAAACGATTTTTACTTTTTCAAAGTTTCTGCTCATTTAATTTTACTTTATAATAATTTTAGGAATGTCTGTCTCTTCAGAAATAATCTTTAAAGTTAGTAAGATTCATTTCAAATCATGCAGTAGCATGAATAATTTGAGCTAAACGTCTGCTTTCAGAAGTCAAGCAGCTACTGGAGTCCATCAGTGGGTATTATGATCTGAATATAAATTCAATTTTTCCATGAATATCTGAGGTTTATTATAAATCATTAGCAAACAAACGGCATCATGGAGACCAAGGAACACGGCAGATAGGTGAAGGAGAATCTGTATCGTCTGGAAATGGAAAACAGCTGTTCAAAACTGACATGCTGGAAAAGAAGCACATTCAAAAGGCTCATAATGACTCTGGATGAGCTGCAAAGACCAACTGCTCAGTTACAGAAACATTACAACACGATAACTATGACTTGTTCACTCCACAAGTCAGACTTTTACAAAACAGCAGCAAGATGAAAACCTCAAATATTTTCTCTTAAATTTTATCACAATAAGAGCAGGAAATGCAGCAACATGTAGAAAAAGGCTCCGATTTGGCCTTTTTTTGGCCTTTTTTTGGCCATCATGCAGCATGTTATCTGTGAAAGGAAGCTACCACTGAACAGTACCTTGCCACTCCCATCTGTGGTGGTGGCATCATTATTTAGGGATGTTTTTTCTTCACCAGAGATATGGAAACTGGTCAAAGTTGATAAAAAGATAAGTGAAGCTAAATCAAGAGCAAGAAAACAAACCCAGTAGAGGTTCATCTTCCACCTAAACATACAACCAGAACTGAAGAGGAAAGTTTTACAATGAATCACGTTAATGTGTTATAACAGCCTAGTTAAAGTCTGGACTTGAATCCGGCTAAGAATCTGCGGCAAGACTGAAAACACACAAGAAGTTCAATAGTAGCAATAAGAATGTTGTTTTGTTCTTCAGACAATCCCACCCCCCAAAAAACATGCAGTTCTTACAAAATAAAACTGTGTATATTTTTATTTCAGATTTTAATTTCCAAAATATTTTGAGAGTCATGTATCATTTTCATTATGTGCAACTGTGCTCTCCATTATTACAGAAAATACATCGACATTTGTGGTGGTGAAATGACACAATGTGAAAAACATTTAAGGGATATAAATATTTTAGCAAGATACTGGAACAAGTTTGTTTGACAATCTTGGAAGGTTAACCTGCCATAAAGCAGAAAAGATTTACATAGAGAGAAATTCAGTTAGCAGTTAATATAAAGTTCTGTAAAATGAGATTTTTTCCTTCTCCAAGGGAAAAAGCGACTGACATTTGTTTCAGTTTTAAACCTCTTTAGGGTTTTTACTGAGATAATTTCAACAGAAGAAATTTCTCATCAACCATCTCCAATCACTAATAAACCTTTCTAAGGATTTAGACAGTGAATAAAAATGCATCACCTTGTTGTCAATTTGTTCATTTCTACATCAGCCTAATGAAATGCTTACGAGACTCATGAAGATCATTATTGAGCTAAAATGCTGGCATATTTAAAGCTGAAAGAAATTAGCAGATGATTGTAAATTAAATAGAGGGAAAATAATTCAAATGTAAGATTTAATAATATTAAAAAAGAACAGTTGTTTTTGAAGAGTTGCATTCATGGTGTCTCACAGCTGCTGTATCATCACCCTGTAAAAATAAAACACAGTTAGTATTTAACTTTCAATTTAAAAAATCACATTTATTGCCTATAGTCAGAAAAAACTTTTTTATTCTCCTAATAACAGCGCCACCAAGTGGCTGGTTGTGTTTGATCTGCTCAGAGTTGTTCACATTTCCTGTTTGCTTTCATAAGATCTGCACACGTTGTCACTGTGACACTTTCTAACCCGCTCAGTTTGAAAACGATCTAATGTCCTTTGCAGTAACAAACACTTTGAATGTCAAATGCTGCTTCAGTTAGAATAAATACAGGTTTAGTAAAAACTCACCCAAGTATCAGTTTTGTGATCACAATAGATAACAGTGGTGAAGGTTTCATCAGCCTGCAGATGGTCAAACATTATGTCAAACAAAACAGTAAAAATAGTTTTAATCCAATACAGAACAGACACACTAGTTCAGTGATATAAAAATAGATAATCAGTAACTCACCGTAATCATCTCAGCTTCTGCAAGGAAACTAAAACACAATTAAAGTTAGGAGAGTTTGTTTTTGTTAGATAAGGAAAATCTCAACATAAGAACATATTTCTGAAATAATCTTCTATTTCTTCTTTTGGTGATTGATCTGATATTTTATTTGTATTTTAATTCTGGTCTTTGCTAATGAATCAAACCAACTTTATTGATCCTTTAGGACTTAGTGCTCTGACAACTAAAATTAAAATTCTGACCAATTCTGATAATTTTTTTTCAAAATTTTATTTGACACATTTGTATTCCACAAAATCTTTGATTGTTCACTGCTGCTCAAATGTCTGGAAACTTTAAGCTTTTCAACTTTTCATATTGTGTGGATTTAATTACAACCTCCAACTAACTTGAAACATCAGCAAATGTATATTTATCATTTATCTAAGCAGGTAAACAAGCATCTAACATTTTTTACTGTTATATTTCTCGTCGCTTTAAACAATTGTAAGATACAGAAAGAAACAAATCTCCCTGCATAAAGACACACAGCCCACTAAGTAGCAAATTAAGGATATTTTAGCAAAAAGTCTTTATCCTAATACATTTTAAATTGAATGTATGTTTGAACAATGTGAGACAATATTATGAAATCTGATATTTTTATTACGACAAAATAAATACTACGTGAAAGCAAAGCAAAAATCTTCCCTGTACTAACAAAAACCCATAGTAGCATAGCTAAATTTAAATAAATCTACTTTTTCTTACCTCCTGGATTTCTGTTTCCCTGAAAGCAAGAAAAACAAACAAAATGAAGCTACTTGTATTAAGATGGTATAATTAGTTAATGACTTCTGATATATTTTCTACAATCATGGCAAGTATATAGTTGAACGAACATAAAAAAATCAATACAGCCAAGAAGGAATTAGATTTTCACCTGTTTTGCAGAGACTGAAGAGAAATGTTGCTCCACACAAGATGCCACCCACAGCCAGACCGAATCCAAAGCTCCATAAAAGCATTTCAGCTGTGGAGGGTGGGGCAAATGTCCAGTTTCTACCTGCTGCTGCAGAAAAGTTTGGTATAATTATCATAATGTTAAGAGAAACACCTGTGATATTCTTTGTCAGCTCTGCCATACTTAAAAAAAATGTATCACCATATTACTGCTAATGTTCTTGGAATATTTCACCATACCTGTGATGAAGACTGTCATGGTTGTTTGGGTGAATGATTCTGACAATGAGAAAAATTAAAGAAGGAAAAGGTTTTACAAGATACTCTTTTTATTTCAATAATCTCTATAAACTCTTAAGTAATATTTTGTGCGATGTTTATTTCTCTCATTCCCACTATTGACCTTGAAGTGACCTTGGAGAGGAAATTACTTGAATAGACTATTTACTCCTGCAGATAAGATATTGGGATGCTGAGATCATAATCTCACTGTGCCACTTATCTGCGATTAAGCTGTTTAAAAATTGCTTTATTAGACTGTTTACTGCAGCCTGCTGAAAACCAAAACATTAGGATGCTGATATTATGACCTCAGTACAGAAAGAAAGACAACAACATTTTTCTAAAGTATATTTCATCTTTACCCTGGATGGGCCAGACAACGTTCGATGAGCCTGTGGTCTTCGTAAAGCTTGTTGGTATTGTGATGATCTCAGTTAAATCTACTTCTGCAATACCTAAAATTAGAAAACAGGTGTTCTCAGTTTCAAGTTCAACTAAATGAATAATCTTTATGATACAGCTCATTCAAGGATTATTTGGATTTCTTATAAAGTTTATATATAAATAAATACACCAATAAATGTTAAACAACATCAAACAAGTGAAGGAAACAAGAAGGATATATTATTCATAACTGCAACTTTTGCCAGAAACACAGTTGAAACCAGAAGTTTTCTTACACTGAATAAAAACACATATAACTTTTTTTTCTCACTGTCTGAAGTAAATCAGACCAAAGTTTTCTTGTTTTAGGTCAGCACTGTGTTCCAGGTGTAATCTTAAATTACATTCTTTGTAATTTTATAAATAGCTGTCAGAAAAATACAGACTTTTAAAAGTCAAAAAGGACACAGGAATGATTCAGAGCAAAACTAAAACATGAGAGGTGAGGATTCGTCTCCAGATTCAGCAGATCTCAGTCTAATCCAGAATCTGGGACGTTTTGATCCTGGAGGCTCAACCTCACATCTTACAAGACTTAAATCATCGACTGCCTACATCTTGCTGCCAGATACAAAACCAAACCTATGACGGCCCCGAGACGTTCATAACTTCATTAAAAACAACAGGGATTTGTGAAAATATATGAATATGTTTTAAAATATTTACTGTATTCATGTTTGACTCACCTGTAAATCTGTATGGATCACTGCGAGGTGACAAAGATTTCCCATCTCTTTCCAATCTATAATCACAGCTGACCTCATTCCTCTTAGTTGAACGTAAATGATTCAATAATTCATTTTCTTGAATCTCAGTAAAGCAGAACCATTGATTAGTGCTTGAGCTCTTTGTCTTTGATGTTGTTGTTGTTGCTGCTGGACGACTTGATTCTCCAAAGTACAGATTACATGTTGTATCATGTTTCACAGATCCAGGCAAAGAGCAGGTGAAGGCAGCAAACTGGCCCTTAAGATAGTTTACATTCAGTTCTGGCTTAAGACCTAAAGAAGAAGTAATTGGTGTCAGGAAAAGTAAAATATGTTACATGTCTTTGACATTGAGTTTATGATTCAATTCCAGCTATAAAATTAAAGCGCTAAACTTTTCCTGTTTAGTTTTGATAAGTTTTTATTAATTAAGCTAAACTTGAACCTGTCCAAGAATGAAGCAGAAACTTACCTATATTGATATAGGATGGATCACTGTGGGGAGATGGAGAATTTAAAGCTTCAGATTTTACAGTATAGAAACATTTCACTTCAACCTTAGTGTCTGAACTTTGTTTTCTCATCGACAGCAACTCAGTTCCTGTAAACGTTTTCTTGCAGGGGAAACGTGTTGGAGTTCCTACATTCACATAGAAATAACACTCATACACAGAAACATGAGCTGGAGCCTGACAGCTTAATGTCACTGAATCTGTTTCTGTGATTGATGATGAAGTCGGTGTTAGCTTAGCCTGAAGAAGAGCTGAAATAAAAACAGAGATTCATATGTTCAGTTACTATATGAATAATACGATATTTTCCTATGAGAAATTATTTTTAATCTGTAATAAAATGAAACGTGTTGGATTGGATTTAAATATTCATGAGAACTGAAACTATCATAAAATAGATCAATAAAACAAAGCATAGCAACAATTAAAACAGTCAAACACAAACATAGAGTAATCTCAACATAACATGAGAGTTGGATCTTTCAAATTAAACTTTGTTTAAGATATTTAATCATTTTTAAAAAGTAACACAGCTGGACATAAGAAACATCAAAAACTGACCTTGTCCTTTCAACTCTTTACAGGAACCTGTATGAAAGAAAGTTTAATAAAATACTTGCTTGCATAAATTGAAAGACTGTAAATTTACACTGAACTGTATTTCAAAGTCAGAATAAAAAAGAACAATTTGTGCAAATATTTTCATTTGAAAACTGCAGAATAATCTACACAGCTGTAGCATTCAGTCAGTAAAACCAAATTAAATTATGTGTTGCATGTATCTATCAGTAGAAACTCACATTGATGTTGAGAGAATGAGGAAAATTAACTTACCCAAAAGAACAATAAAAACTAGACATCCTATCATGGTGAAACCAACGTAAACTGATCAAACCCTGCAGAGAAGAAAAGCGTCTGACTGCATGAAGCTGAGAGACTTTTTCTGTTCAATACTTGCAGAAAAACCACAGAGAGCATCAGAATAACTCAATGGTACAACCCACTATCACATACAACTTGTTCAACCTTTAATAACTTCCAGTGTATTTTAAGTCTAAATGTTCAGTCACTTATGTTTCCTTACATTTGTACAAAGTATCTTCACTTTATATTAATGCATTTCTTATCTGCACAGTAATTCTGTTTCACCTTCTTCAAAGTTACCATTGTTCCTGAGTTTAACTGAGATATAACCACCTCCCACCTGGCCATGGTGATCATGCATGTTAACAGTCTGCTGTAATTAACCCCACCTTGACCCCAAACACAACAACACCAGTGGAGAAAGTAGGATGACTTTTGTTTATTTTTTTCATTAAGGCTGAGTTGATCATTAATAAACATTTCTTATTCAGTTACTGGTAAAATTATTCATACATAAAACCTGGGTTGAATGTCGTGTTTTAATTTTAGTAATACATTTTTTATGCATAAAGTAACATTAAGGTCAGAGTCCTGCCTCAAATATGAGAGGATCAGTAGAGTGAAATTTTATCCAAATCCTCCTTCCAAAAATTCTGAATCTCAAGACATTCCCAAAGGCAGTGAGTCAAATTGCCTTTATCTCCACATTTATCACAAGTATCCAGATGTTGGAATCCACCTCTGTTGGCGTGTGGAAGAGGAAGCGATTACCGCAGTGCAAAATCCTCATCTTTGCTGGGGATGCAGCTGGAGACAGTAATCATTAAACCCAGTGTTTTTGTCCACACTTTCTATAAACTCACCTCTACAATTTCCAAGTGAAGGTGAACCTCAACAGACAACAAAGCATTAATAAAAAGTGCATTTTATTCAAGTGTGACCAAGAGACAATATTAAAACGAGAACTGCTCAGTCAAAAAGAAACCATTTTATTCACACGTAAATAAAATAAGACAAACTAAAATAATAAAACAATTCAAACAATTTTTAGAGGAAAAATACAGCGATGAGTCACAATAACATTTTGAATCTCTATAAATGTTATTGAACCTTGGTTTCATTTCACAGAAAGTCTTAACAGGAAAACAATTTCTTGTAGCAATTTCCTGTTAACATAGTCATAAATATCTCTAATAATAAGTACACACAAAGCACTCTTTAGACCACTTTGTAAAAGCCTTTCAAAACTAGTAGATCTGATAGACCTCAGTGAAAATATATCTACATAAAAAAACAAAAATTATGCCAGTTGCAATATCAGTATGCTATGAATACAACACTAAAATATACCGTAGTTTAGTTTGAGCGTTTTCTACATAAAGGCTGTTTAACTTGGTTTGTACATTGTGAGCTGTGTTAGGTGTCCTGGGGTCTGCCTGATCTTTTAACCCCTTCTCTGTGCAGGTCATGGTGCCGTGGGTTCAGAGAACAGAGCAATCGTATCTCTGTCTGTTCTCTCCTTCTAGTGTTTTTTCCCTCTCACTCGTCTCCTGCTGGGCCTTGTCTCATCGTGAACACTGGAGTTTATTTTTATTTTCACATCTCATCACTTTACACACATACACAAAATACATTCAACCATTAAATGTTACAACTCTAATGCTTACATTCCCTTTTGTTAACCGCATACTTTATCCTCAATAAGTGTTCCTTTTCTACATATAACATATATTCAAACTTTTATCCTATTAACTTTACACAGAAATTTGTTGTTTGAGATTCATTCAATCACATGAAAATGTTCCCTGCCGTTTGCTGTTTTCACTTTGGTTTCAAATGCTCATTTTTCATCCAGGTACAGTTAGTACATAACAGCAGAAGTAAGTGCCGATATGTAATGTAACAGCACTGACAACGTGGTCGGATTGTAAGAATTTATCAAAAAATATTCAGATTGCTATGAGCTGAAAAACAAAAGGGATTAAATTACAGGTGTTCTGAAATGGTTAAATTACCAGTAGAAATGGAGTAGAGCCAAGTGCGCACCATTTTACACCCCGTGGGAAAACCGGTGTGTTCCTGAACGGCTCGTCATGCGGGCATTGTGAGATAATCTGTTCTGATTCAGATAAAACACTGACCGCATCCAGCATGCGACTGAAACAAACATTACTTGTTTTAGCGTTTAAGATTCTCCAGTAATTACAATTTATCTGCTAAACTTAATACTGGTAAGTTGTCCTTCACTGAATAAACTCCTCCCACTCCGGTTTGCGTCCCTTCCTTCCGGCTCCTTATCCGGCTGACTCATAAGGAGTTGACCAAATGCCAATCAGTGGGATGTGAATCACCTGGTCCACCTGCATAAAAATGAAGTCAAGCTTATAGTTTTCAATGTGCGTGTGTATTTTTTTTATCATTAGTATTATTTTGTCTTTTGTTTAAAACGATGCCTCCCAAAAAACAAGCAGCAGATCCTCAGCCGAGTTCAAAACCTGCTTCTGCTGGAGAGCCCGACAAGAAGAAAACATCTGGTTTGTATACGAACGAGGAAAAGTTGAAGAATACCAATACGTGTTTAAATGTATTTCTATATTTTTAAGCGGCTTCACAAACCTCTCTGCAGCACGCGCCGCGGCGGTGCGGAAACCCGCGTCTCATCCGTCCACGGCCGCCATGGTGAGAGAGGCGCTGGAGGCCCTGGACTCACGCAAAGGGGTTTCCTCCCAGGCCCTGCAGCGCTACATCAAACAGACGTACCCCACCGTGGAGCCGGTGAGGCTGAAGCACTTGGTCCGCAGAGTCTTGAAGAACGGCTTGTTGAGCGGGACGCTGGTGAGGCCCGTCAACGCCACCATCACCACGGGCGCATTGGGGAAGTTCAGGGTAGGACACTGAAGAGAGACGGACAAGCCTCCAAACTGAATGTACGTGATTCAAGTCTTTCTGTCCTTGTTGTTAAAAGCTTGCGCCAAAAGTTAAAGAGGTGAAGCCGAAAAGCGAGAACACTGATCCAAACGGACAGAAGCCCAAAGCTGGAGCCAAGAAGACCCAGACAGAAGGTATTGACTCCCGAAATGCACATCTTCTACCTCACGGTGGAGTCCCTCACCAACATTTGCTTTGTTTAAGACGCCACCAAGAAGAAGCCAACAAAGGAAAAGGCAAAATCTACAAAGGTAAGATGAGATGAAACTGACCAGATAATCAGTTTTCCTAATCCACACAGAAGTATCCAATCATTTGCTGCTGTTTACACTTTCTGGCTTCTATCTATTCTGACTTTGGCTTTTTTTCTTTTGTCACAGAAGCCGAAGGCTCCAAAAACCACAAAGGATGAGGCAGATGTTCCTCCAGTAAAGAAGCCAAAAGCTAAGAAAGCGGAGGCGAAGGGAAGCGGTGCTGAAAGCTCCGAACCAACCAAAAATAAGACTGCAAAGGCCAAAGGGGCAAAAACGGACAAGAAAACCCAAAACAAGGCTGCAACGTCAGGCAGTGATGCCCCTGCATCTAAAACTGCTGGCAAACGAGTGAAGAAGACAGTGTGAAATGAGGAATCTATTTTATTTTTTTAGATTTGTTTACAATAAATGTGTATTTTTTCAAAGTTTTGGTTTTTCTATTTCCCATTTTGAACGAACGGGTCAAATATCAGTAAAAGGACTATTGGTAGGCTTAAAAGCAAAATCTTGACTTGATGAACATGAAACTTGGCTTAAGTTAACCTTGACTGCACAGAGAAACTTTGGAGCATTTTGCCTCTAATGTAGAAGTTACTCACCTTTGTACTCCACAAGCTTGGCAATGATGGGTTTAATTGGAATCCTTGCATATCTTGTGCAAAAAAAGTTGATTTTCTTAATGTCAGTTGCTGACATGTAAGCAGCCATGACTGCAAATGGCACAAAGGTCAAACTGGAAGACCTGTCAAATGTATGCTTTCAATGATCAAATGCAAACTTTAACTTTCAAATGACCTCTTAAAGATTTACTTTAGGGCTGGTGTGGCACACCACAGACCTGTTAATCACATGGCTTTTATTACAGGCATCTCACGACTCAAGTTACAGACTAGGTCAGCATATTCAAGAAAAAAATCCTCTTAAAGTGTCAAAACAGAAAAAGGTCTGGAGCCTTATACTCTAAGGGACACGACTACATAGCCCAGTATGGAGAGAAGCACTAGAAGCACCGACCAAATGACAAGTGAGCCGTTTTGAATTTTTTCAAGGAGAGGCTTCTGTTTTTGCCGTTGCTGCTCTTCAAGCTGCTCCAAACGGTACTGAAGAGCCCCCAGCACCTCCTACAGACCAAGAAGAGATTTTACAAGTTAAGAATTTGCATCATTAACTGACTTATGAAAGCAGTTTTAACCATTTCAAATGTAATCGTCTACTTTTTCACAATCTTCAGTTTATGTGGTATAAATTTGAATTCTAGGTTTTTGTAATGTTTTAAGGTAACATTTTTCTTTACCATGTGGCATAGATGGCTACTATTAACATTACTCTTATATCAAACACAAAGTTCAGATCTTTACAGAGAGAGGTTCAACTGTGACAAAAAAAAAGTCTTCATAGACTCAAGCAAGAGACAGATTCAACCAAACAATCCAGTGACACCAGTGCAGAACTTTGTCTGCACTTGGCAAATAATTCATATTCCTGCCTTTTGATTTTCAGTGCATTTCTCAAAACATTTCACAACAACAGTGACAGTAAAACTGTAGAAAGCACCAACACTTCTGGCTAGCAGTGTATATGTACCACAATGAAAACTTACATGAATATCTGTCGTAGCTTTTAAAACCAGATGCTTGATCATCTCCTTTGTACTGGTCAGCTCCTCTTTCAAGTTCTGCATTTCATTCTTATAAAGTTCAGTGATGTCAGCAAGTTCCTTTGTTAAAACATCTTTGCTGCAAAACCATTAGTTTATTACAAACTATATGAGGACGTTTTCATGTATAGCAGTGAGCATGAATTACCTTGATTTTTCTTCTTCAAGTGTCTGTGTTATCATCGTGAAATCTCTGTGGTAGTTGGCTCTGAGGGTTTGCAGGCACTTCTCTTGTTCGATTTGGGTTTCTCTAAACTCTTGAAGCTCGGGGATTGCGCCATCAGGACCAGACACTTCTCCATCATTGTGATGATCCTTCGTGATGGCAGATTTCTCAGAGCTGTTATTATTACTGCTACACATTTCGGTTGACAGATCATCTTCCAAATTAAGCGACAAGCAGTCCTGGTTATCGAAAACATCACTAGATATATCCAGTGATGCATCACTGGATGCAAGGGTACTAGATCCGCTGTACCGTCTGTGAACACAGAAAGACATTTTTTCTAAGAATTGACACCACAGGTATACACCTCCAGGGAACATTTAAGAGCGTCCGCCATCACATAGATATAGTTTAATAAAAACAATATTAAAAATTCAAAACCAAAATTGCTATTCAAAAAAAATCGTATCTTCCAAAGGGATAAATTTATGTCTAAAGTCCAATCTCTCAAGATGAAACTCTCACTCCTCTACAGAGTTGATATGTGGGATCTTGTCATTTTTGTCTAGATTTTAAAGCAATTATTTTGTTTATTTAAAAAAAAGCATTTTGACCCACAAATTATACCCCTAAACTCAAAAAATGAACAGAGGTTCTGATCAGAGTTCTTTTAAATTACATCTTTAGGCACCTTGTTACCAGCATCACGACACAATACAATTTATTCACATTTCTTCAGTTGGAGCTATAAAAACAACCAAACAGCAGTTCGATAGCTGGAAAATATTTCTTTCTGCACTAACAAGGTTATTCAGAAAGTACTAATACAATTTATACCTTTATAACAAATAGCTTGATTGCTGTTACATGCAAAATTGTGAAGAGGAACAAAAATAATTCATTGTGGCTTTCAAAATGAACACATATAAATTGAAAAAGTCTCAGGTGTTTTGCAGCCACTAACAGCTTTTCTTGAACAGCTTTTGCTGAACAAATGTACCCTCACAGATTACCCTTTAAACTTCAAAACATCACCCTTGACCTTTCCGCTGTGATTGTTAGTCTTCATTACACCCTCTGGGAGATTTCCACTCAGACAGCAGGACTTTTTAATAAGGGGTTCCAAAGTAATGGGGGCCGAACCTGAACACCTTCCACTTCAGAAATGACTTTTGTGATGCCTTTTTCACTTACTGCTCATCAGGTGGTTTTAAAGGCCAAATGTTTTTATTCTTTGTTTTGTATTTTTGTACTTTTGAAGCACAAAAATACATAATGCTTCCATTGTCCATCATATGGACTGGACAGAGATTACTGTAAACAAGTGCAGAACTGTGGCCATTTTCAATTATTTTCATTTATTAATACAATAGTAGTAATATAGTCTTTGCAAATATCATATTTATAGAGTTAATTGAGCATTTCACAAAAGTGTTGATGGAAGATAAATTACATTTACAAAAAAAATAAGCTTCAAAAGTATACTGGAAATACAAATCCAAAACAAATCACTATATTTGGGGTAATAAGGAGTTTTTTAGGTAACTTGAAGCGTTTCAGTAGACTGAATAAGTAAAACACAGTGGAATCTCAACACTTCTCGTGGGGTGACCTATTTAAACCTGAGGATCCTCGTACAGTTTGTCCAGGACTGTAGCTACAATTTTACACGACAGAAACCATTTTCTTTCCCGCATGAATGACACGCGTGAAAGAAAACGCCGCACTGAATTTAGATTTTTTCTTCTTTTTTTTCTTTCATAACCTACCTGGCTTTAAAGAAACTCAACTTGCGAGGCATCGATGGGAGTTTGGGCTGGTTATCGTTAATCAAAGAACTTGTTTCCAGAGTTAAGCTAACGGTTAACCGACGCTGTTGCGGCTGCGAGACGTTAAGAATCGGAATCGATTCCGAACGCGCAGGTTGTTACGTTGCTGGGCAACAACTCTGCGCAACTTTGGTTTTAAATGAAACTATTTGCGACATTTTCTCAGGGCGGCTTCTGCTGCGGGCGGTTTAAGTGTGACGGGCATCTTCTCCTTCTGCCTCTCATCACTCTGGAAACGGGAAAACCCGAGACCTTGTCGGAGTACATATGACCTTTGACCTTTATCACACCGGAGTCCAAGGCTTATGACGTCCTAGTTGTTAATTATATGTTAAACAAGGCCTTTAAATCTCTCTATTGACACCCGATGCGACCTCAGAGACCAAATCATTCACTCGTACATCAAAATGCAGTTTGAAAATGAACTCCAGGCTTCCATGTGTTCGTTTCAGACAAATAATCTGGATGCATTTGTTCAATAAAAAAAAAAAGAAGAAACAGAGAGAGAAGGGTTTTTTTTTTTTTTTTGTATTGCGGGAGAGAGTTTTTGACAATTGCACACAAATACAAGTTAGACCTTAAACGAAGCCTTTCAAAACAGCAATTTATTAAAAAAAAAAAAAAAAATCAACTAAAATGTGTTACTATTTCATCATCACTAATAGAAACAGTACGGAAGCACTAAGTCTTTGAGCAATTCAGCCGCTCTTCAAGTATGTTAATTCAGTTTGTAGATTATTCTTTCTGCAGTGAAAGAGTCACCAGGAAAAGTGTAGTCCAGTTGGAGGAGAGGGTCACATTTCTGGATAGTCGCATCCCGTTTGTGGCGGAACCAGTGTGATCGACTCCACACATCAAAAGGAAACAATTCAACGACCCACAGCTATTTAATTCAGTTACAAATGTGATCTCAGAGCACTGATGCAGATTTGCAGGCACCCGATCTTAAGTGATCTGGAAGGAGGACTTGGTTACATAAGCTGAAATGCAGAGATGATGAGAGGAGGAAGCAAATAAAAAAAAGAGAAAAAAACAATCGCAAAACCGAAGAGAAATTTCTTGCAAAAAAAAAAACCTTGGGACACCAAAACCGCAGAACGACGTCAAATCATTACTGTTTAAAAAGAGAACTGAGCAAGCTGGATTAAAAATAGCAGTGACTTCAAAACAATACCATTTGAATAAACAACAGATATAAACTAAGGTGAAAAACAATGCAAGGTTTTCCACTTGTAAACAAATTCACTCAGAAGAGAGAAATCCAGTGTGCAGTTCTCTCAGCTCCTCCTTCAAATTCGCCCCCTTCACTCTCGCAGCGTGTGCTTGTGCCTCCATTGCACCTGTGATTCAAACTCGATGCCCAACTTCCAGGATTTTTTTTTTCTTTTATCTCCTCGCTCTTAATTTTATTCTCCCGGATACAAAGTTCACAAAGTGGTAAAGTGACAAACCTTTGTTACACTCCTGAGTGCTTTTAGAGAAATATGATCAACTGGACGTTTAAGACACAACCTTCAGTATATACGTCTTCCCTTTAACCGTTGACCTTGAAGCGCCCAGTCCCTTTCATCGCTTTCATTAGTTTCTCCCAGCAGGTCATCTGGGGTTTAGCAGGAAATGATGCAGATACTCTGAAATAGCCTCCCAGTGCCTCCAGAGGAAGGCGAGCAGGATCACGAGGAGCAGCGTGGAAAGCGTGCGGCTGCGTGTTTTCATCAAGGGGACGACGCAGTTGGCCACGGTGGACACAAACACCAGGAGGACAGCCATGACGGCCAGGAGGATGTTGATTAGCTTTCCCAGGAGAGTCCGTGCCGTGGCGTTCTCCAGGCCCTCCAGCTGCACCACCTGCTGCTGCTGCTGCTGCAGCTCCATCTTGGATATGCGAGTCTGACAAGCCTCCAGCGCCTCCTGGAAGAGGAGATCAGAGGCGTCAGACATGCATAATGGCAAAGCATCGGTGTGAGGTTCATTCAGTCGAAGCTTGCCTGTATGTCTCGGGCCCTTTCATAAGACTGGTAGGCAATCTTCTCCTCCATGCTGGCTAGTTCCTGCTTCAGGTTCAGGATTTCATTCTGGTGCAGTTCTGTCAAGTCATTGAGTTGTTCTTCTAATCGCTCACACCTGGGAAAAAAAATAATTAGGAACAAAACATGTTATATATAGAACCAATATCAGTGCATCTTGTTATATCAGAATATCAAAAAACATTCATTTTAATTAAAAAAGACTAATAGAATAAATATTTTGATATGAAAATGTGCTATAGTGGTAATCAAGAGAACACTGCTGAGTTGTTTAACTCCATATTCAAGCATATTAGTAGAAAGTTTGGTGGAAGAAAAAAAAAACATTGTAGAAACATGTGCACAAGTAAAAAGAATAACTTCAACCTTTAGAAGATTGTAAAGCTCTTCTAGAGTTTAGTGTGAACAAAATATGGACAGCAGGTGGAGTCAGAACTTCAAGTTCAAGCCGTATTCATAACATGAAGGAGTTGCATCCTTTATGCGAAGCTATTCCAGAACCTGAGACAATATCCGAAGCGTCTTACCTCGACTAAAGAGAAAAACGACGGGGCTGTTGTTTAGTGGACCAAAGTTCTCTTTCAGATAGAGGTGAAATTTAAATTTAATCAGCAGCAAAATCAACACAGTCCTTCATTTAGGTGAGAGACTGTTTTAGTCTTGCTTTTGGCTGCAATGTTTAAATAGAATGAAGACATAAAGAGGAACATCAACCTGGCAATGCATGAAATTCCAACCTCAGTAAGTAAAGCCTATTTTTTGTTTCTAGCAACTAAAGAAGGAAAAAGCAGCAAGACTGAAACAGTTTATATGAGCAAAGAGATCAAGAGAAAACTGAAAATGCAACGTCATGAAGAGTTCAAAATGTTGTGAGTTTGTATGGCAAACTGTAAACATTAACCTTTCAGTTCTAACCTCATTAAACTGAATTTAGCAGGTGAAAACATACCTGTATCGTTCTTCCTGCAGAGCCTCCATGATCATGGTGTAATCCCGCTGATAGTGGGATTTTAAATTTTCAAATGACTCTTCCAGTCGACCCTGGTTGTCCCGAAGCTCATGGATCTCATGGAGGAAAGCATCAAACCCTGAACCTTGTGCATTATCGAGAGTATTCCCCCTGGAGCTGGGGGGGCCACCTGGGGCCCCCGGCGTGCTGTTGGCTCCAGCAGACCCAGATGTCGCGCTCGAGCAGTCGTCCTCACTGCCGTACCTGGGGCTGGATTGTAACTGTCCTGTTCCCAGAGGTCGTGACCCCCCCGGATAGCTGCCCTCTTCTCCTGCCGCTTCTTCCAGCGAGTCTTTCAGAGCGGCGATGTTGTCGGCGCTCCCAAACTTGTTCCGGATGAGCGAAGCGATTTCTCTGGGCTTGGACACCACAGCTCCAGCTGCAGAATGAGTAGCTTGAGAAAAACTGGACAGCCCTCCTGTTACCTGAGGAAAGCAGCGATCAAGTCAGTGTCTCATTCATAAACTGGATTAAACAAATAGGAGCTTCAAAATAGTTTCTTTGAATTCAGATGGTTTGATGATACCAAATGAATGCAGCAATCACCGTAGTGCTTTGGAAAAGAGCACTTTTGCAATTTATTTTCATATGACAAGCCAAAAAATTTTTTTTTTATTAATTTATCTATTAAACAAAAAGCAATACATAATTGTGAGGTGAAAGGGAAAAAAATGGTTTCAACTTAGTTTTTCCAAACAAAAATCTGAAATGTGTGGTAAAATGTACAGTGTGCATTTTACCACACATCTGTGTGGCAGGCAAAAACAAAGTTTCTAGGGTTTTTATATTAATTTTCATAGTACTAGCAGATTAAATTGCAAATTTAAGAGGCTGTTTACTGTCTGCAGCCTGCAATAAGACAGTAAAGTTATTCTCAGCTGTGGCAAAGACTTTAACTTCTTATTTTTAAATGTCTGAGCAGAAACATGTTTGGGGCTCTTATTGTAAAGAGCTTTAAAGAAAATATTTCATCATTTTGCTGTTTAAACACTAGAGACAAACTAATGAGGCGTGCAGTACCTTGTTTTTGTTATATCAGCGCTTCCAGTTTGACTCTATACTATTGCATACTGAGTCAAAGTAAAGTCAGTGAACTCATTGGTGCCATCAATCAACCAAGATTAAAAACAAAACAGAGTAATTAGTTGTTTCCCTTGTTGAGGAAGAAGTGTGACGGTCTAACCTTGGCTCCAACACCTTTCAGACCCTGGTGCATGTCTCGGAAAACGTCTTTGGGTTGCCGAGGGATGCCGTTGTGCTCCACCTCTCTGAGTTTCCGGTGGTAGTGCTCCAGTTTCCTCTGCAGCTGCTGGATGGTCTGAGCAGACTTTTGGTTCTTCTTCTCAAACACCTGCTTGATGCGCGCACTCTGCTGCTTGTCTGCATTGTTGGCCAGTTTCAAGTACTCTGCCACGTTGTCGTCCCGAGCCGTTTGTTCGATCTTGATTTGTTCTGTGAGCTTCAGGATCTTCTGCTGCAGCTGGGCAATGGCCTGCTTGGTGCGCTGGGGGTCCGGCGTGCTGTCAACCACGTCGTACCCCTCAGCGCCGTAAGGCAGGGTGTTGGGTGACACCGCCGGGCCTGATCCATCGTACCGATCCAACTATTGAAAAATAACAAGCATACATAAAATAAATAAACTCTCTTTTTAAGAAAACTTCACAACTAAACATTAAGCTCACTAACAAAGCACTAAATTTCCTCTAATAAGGAAAGAAAGAAGAAACTGAAACAAGAGAGGATGGAAGGACACAAATAGGGAAGGAAGATAGAACACAAGAAAGAGAAGACAAACTAGCAAATAGGAAGGAGGACACATGAAAAATGACAGGAATGAAGGACGCATTCAGAGAGAAAGTAGGACAAGTAAGTCAAGTAGGAAGGAAAGAAGGAACAAAGGAAGACTGAACATAAAGAAAGAAGAAGGAAGGATTATAAAAGATGGAAAAACTGACATGAGAAACCAAGGGAAGAAACAAATGAAGAAGAGGAAGACTAAAGGAAGGAGAAAAAAAAGCAACATAAAAGGACAGAAATATGGACAACTTTTAAAAAAGACAACCGAGAATTTTACTCATCCTTTTTACCTTCCTACCAAACTCATTCAGAGCTGAAATACTGAAATCACATCCCAGACTGCATAAAAAATATCTATCTACAGCAACTCTTCAAGCTCAAAAGGATTTCCAACATAAAAATAATGCAGCATCATCACTGACACTAAACGGCAAAACTGAGAAAAATCTCAAACAAAGTGACAAGTTGAAAAGATTGTTCAGGCAATTGAATAATTGTCCAGAGTTAAAAAAAAACATTTCTGGGTCTTTTTCAGAATAAAAACTCCCACAAATTTATTGTATGGTATTAATTAAACCATTTAATCTTATACAAACTTTTCAGTCTGCACATAGACATTTTTTCCACTCTAACTCGACTGATATTAGAAATAGTCAAAGAGGCAAAAAGTCAACCACAATTGTATCATAATGTTCCTCTATAAGAACTGTCCCTTTTAGAAAAAAAATGCACAGCAAAGCATTTAGGTTTTAATCAATTTGAGCATTTCTGTCCATCATAAGTGGGTTCAGTCTAAAAGGTCAACAACATGATGTAAAATTGACTTTTTGCTCCTCGGCATTATGGATGGCCAATATGAACTTTATCATCATATTTTGTGGCATTTGATGGGATAATGATATAATAAATAAGAAAATCTTGTTTTGATCACAACATAAATTACTGCAAACAGACAGAATCCCACAAACACTAAACTGCTCTAAAAATATAATATACACATTATTAAATAAACAATTTCAACTCCAGCTACATTAAATTGTGTAGCTACACAATAAGTGCATTTATAGGTTGAAATATATTGATATTATTCCAAAGCAGCTCAAAAACGGTTAAGAACACAAAACATTTCCCAAACATCGATAATCTCTCACATTGAATCCCAATTCTCATCATGATGAACTTTTCCCCCAAAACTATGAACATTGCGATTTCATTTTCTTCCTCCTGCATTAAAGCCATTAATGCAGGCACTGAAACCATGTAAGCAAATATTTTCTTGAATTATCACTGCAAGTAATCACAACTATGTTTTAATCTCCTATATTATAACATTTAATGGAATGTTGTTTTCTGAATACCTAATAAATTCTATTTGCTTTTATTTTGGTTCTAGTATCGACTGGGAAAATTGACTCTTGGAACATAAACACAGATTGTTTCCCCCTGATAAAAAAAACAATGAACAACATAAGCAACCTCTAGCTGGCAGATAAAATTAATTGGACTCATTTTATCTCCTGACCATTAAGCAGACTATGAATAAATTATAGAAATATATTTCAAGCTATCAGTCTTCTGGCACATAATGGCTGAAACTACAAATGGTGAAAAGGCAATCAGCAGCAATTATGACTAATTTGCTGTATAATAAATGGTTAATTGAAAAGCAGGAAAATAAAACTAATGCAGCCAGCAAATCCCTGGACAGACTGGTCTGCATTGACGATACTGTAGCTTCTTCTGGTTTATTTATAATTATCCATTTTTGACCATTTCCTAGCAAAGCTGTAATTTAAAAGCAAAATGTTCAGAGAATCTCCCTTAAGAAAATCTTTTTATCTGCTGTGTTGTAATGACTTCAATTCATTCTGTGGTATTCTGGGAGTGGAGCCTTGATGCTGCATGTTTTTAATCAATCTTTTTGTTATGAATAATGTTGTAGCTTAAAGAAAAACAAAACAAAGTCACTGTCTGGAAGCCAGTGCATAGAAGTAATTAATAATGTACTTCTTCTTAGCCCTCTAACACTGAGCATGTTTCAAATCTCTGAATTATTTTCTAGCTGTAAACGGCAACCTTTGAGGGGTTTTGTCTCAGTAGGTAACTAAACAGAGATTGGTGAAGTTCTCCTGGGCTTCGGTCCGGCTGCACAACGGCGCGGTCTGGTACCACACAATGTGAAAACGCCCGGCTTCTGCCGCCGAGATCAGAACTTCCCAGATTGATAACTCATCAGTTAAACATTATTCTGATCCTAACAAAGACTTTTCTCATTTGCACAAACGAGATACGGCCAAAATCTGACCAAAACACTTCCTCCATGTTTAATAAATAATAAATGTCTCTGTGCGGCTGAAACAAAATGCGTCCTGTAGTCCAAAATGTTTTGTGGAAATGAAAATAATTAACATTTTTATGTAAGCTGTCAGTTAAATCCAAGTCAGTTTCTCTCTGGTATTATTTCCCCCATTCGAACGTTCAGCGAGGCCCGAAGCGAAACGTTAGTTTGTTTACCCCGGCGAGCTTTCTCTGACCTGAAGTACACCGAGAGACGGCAAAAGCTAAATTTAGCGCGGCTTAAAGCACATAGTGACAAACCAGTCAAAGGCAATCTCTGACCTTCCAACACTGACAGCTCATCTCCCCACTCAGCGCAGCATCCAGGACACAACGGGAGACTTTTAACATGATTTCCCAGTTCGCTTGAGCATGAGTCACCTCTAACCTTTTATTTTTATAATAATAACAACAAATAAAAGCTGAATACAATCCATTTGCTGCTTCCTCAATGAACACACTCTTTCAAAGCCAATCTGACTGTTTTATACTCAGAGGGCAAATCTTCTAGGAACGCTTTAGGATTTAAATCCTAAGCACACTAAGAGCTTGTTTATTTTATTTTCCATCAAACCTTAATGTTTATATGGAGTGGACACATCAAAGGTTAAAATTATGTTGACCTTAAATCAATGCCAATATTTTATTGTTATTGAGTTCACCTCTTCTTTTGACTTGCCTGTAAAAGTGTTGGTGTTGCTGATTATTTTTCATACTTTTGTGGTAAATAAAAACCCATGTTTGAATTAAACATCTGCTTGGTCTCTGGCAACAGCTATATTGTGTCTTTTTTTTTCCAAAGAATAGCAAAATAATTTTAAATTAATTTCTGCATTCATTTCTTTATTATATTTAGTGCCTTGGAAAAGTGTTTGCAGTCTGAAATATTTTCCACAGTTACAGCATCAATGTATTTTATTGAGGATTCAAGTGGAAGAAAAATTACAACATGTGGCTAAAATGTACAAATAGTTCATGGGGTATGGATACGTTTTCAAGGCACTGTATTTGAATATATTTGGAATTTGAAGAATGTAATCCTTGTTATTGATCCTCTGAAGTTTTGGACCACATCTGAATGTCTGCAGCTGCATGGGACAGATTGATGCATTTCAAACAGCTTCGTTTCTGCAACTGTTACTGAAATAAACAAACTGAAGCCGCATCGATGTTCTCAGAGATTCAAATCTTTCAGTGACTAACAATCCAATTTGAATTTGATTTTTACAGTGGTTCTGGTTCGGTTGATGTTTTGTTACTTTTTGTAAATGTCTCCTTTGTGCCGCTGCAAAATAAACCTTCTCTGGGTATAAACAAAGTAACTTAATTGGACCCGCTGAACAGAGGGAGTCACCCACCTTGTCAGGTTCTTCAGTGGAGTGGTACCCAGAGGTCAGCAGCACGTCCACCAGCGCAGGACTGCTGGGCGTGTCCGTGGTGGAGGAGGAGCGTGGGCGTCCTGCCTGAAGCAGGGCCTCGTGGGTGCTCCGCCGATGGATCTGCGGGCTTCCTTTCTGAGGGGCCTCCCCAGAGCTCCCCGCTTTGCTGCGGCGGCTCTGCAGGCTGGTACCTCGTTTCATGATGGGCGGACCTCGAATCTGCTGGAGAACCCGGCTCAGAGCTGCGGGAGGGGCGGAAGCGGCAGGATTGTCAGAATCCATGGAGGGGGCCAAGGAGCCCGGAACGTCCCCTACTTCTGACCCTAGGTCGACGGGCTCGGAGGGAGGGGCGCTCGCGCAGGCTGAGGCGGAGTCATGCGGGGAAACGGAGGAGCGTCGGCGCTGAGGCTGGAAAAGCTGCTTCAGGCCGTGCCCCAACGCTCCCATGTTCTCCAGGGCATTATGGGTGATTTTGGACAAGCCGTGCTCTGACTCCGACGCCCTCCTGCCGACCTCCGGCTCCGCTCGGCCTCCTGCGTCCGGCTCCTCTGGACTCTGCTCACTACTACCCTGATCCATCAGACCCCTCCAGTTTCACAGCGAGCCGCTATGCAGGGGGCTGCAGGGGACTAGCTACGCCCCGTCCACACCCCCCTCTGAGAGGCCGGGTGCAAGCCAGGAAGCAGAGGGGATGCCGCTCAGCTGGTGCTTTAGAGTGGGCATGCATCTGTGGCTCGGCTCAATGTCATGCTTGTCTACCACAAAAAGGAAAATAAAACGCATTATGACATGCGGCTGTCAGGAACATAAAAAGCAGAAGCACAATGTGAAGAGAAAAAAACAACAAAAAAAACAATAAAAACTGGGTTGACATGGCATGACCACATGCATGCACTTTCATTTAACGTGTTTATTTCAAATTTGATCCAGAATTACTATTTATTATGTCAGGAAAAAAAAGAGGAATGCTCAGAACAATGGATTTGAAAAATGTGTTTAACTCTGTTAAAATGTCAGGCTTTTTGGATGAAAAAAAATGAGACCATAATAAATACTTTCAGAGCCAATGAACTGAAAGACAAAGTATTGTCAAACTGTTAAAAACATCAAAGGCTTAAATAATGCGCTTTTGAGAATTTAGTCTTTGGTCAAATTTACTGTCTTTAACAGACTAGAGCTTGAAAATAAGTTCAGGAGCAGCAACTCCTTTAAAGTGAAAACTTTCTCGTTTAACGAGAACCAAACTCGTTAAAACTACAAAGCCTTCTAGTTTTAACGAGATTTTGTAAACTTGTAACGACGAGATTTATATCTCATTAAAACCGAAATATCTTCTCTTTTAAGTAAGAAGGGTCGTAACAGTAAAACAGCAACATCTCTTGGGATTTTAGGAGTTGCCTTGCAGAAACAGTGCGAGGAGATCATAGCATTGCTAGAAATTTTCTTGTTAACGAGAAAGATTCTTGTTTTAACGAGTTTTGCATCTCATTATAAGAATATCCTGCTTTTTACGTTTCTGTAAAAATGTTCCTGTTCATGTGTAACAACTGTCAAAATACTGTAAACAAGATCCTGAAATCACTTCTAGACTCTGGCTAGGCCGATCAAAAACTTTAATATCCTTCTCTTAAAGTCATTCTTCTGTTGAAAAAACTCACTAATCCAAAAAAAAAAGACATAAAACCACGGCATGATGCTGCCACTACCATGTTTCACTGTTGGTTTGGTGTTCTTTCAGTGATTTTTCAATGTGGTTTCAATTCAATAAGTCTGAAATTCAACAAAGGTTCAACCAAATATCAATATAAGGGTTTGCACAGGGATTGCTGCAGCTTTTTTATTTTTGTTTGATTTTCATTTAAATAATTGTCATATTGAAATATGATAAAGGTTTTGAAATTAATAACTGAGGTCTTATATCACATAAAGCTGACATTTTAACCAGTTTGCACAATTTTGAGAGCCAGTTCCGACTTTTGTTAAAAACAATGTGGCATGTCTTAAAAGTGTCAACCCAGAAATGCATAAAATTCAAATTCTAGATAGTAAAAAATCTTGTGAATAGTTTCTGAAATGTTTACTATAGTTTTCTATTTGCGTCTTCTCTTTTCTACTAATTCTACAAACATCAAGCCCAATTATGTTAGAGAATAAATGGACACATTTCAAAAAGTATTCAATGAATACATTAACTAATAACTAATGAGCAAATAACTAATTGCTTAGATGATAAGAGACAACAGAGTGTAAAATAAAAACTAAATAATGAAAACTGTGCTCTAAATGAAATACAAAATGGAAATTGACTGTGATCCAGGCCTCCTCCATCCACAGCGGCCTCCTCTCTGCATCGCCTACCTAACACGGCTAAAACCTGTAATATGAAGGTTCAGTCCAAGCATTTCGATTCTTTGTGTCACTTTCAGTTTATAACAATTTGATTCTCTTTATCAAGATGTAACGACACGCTCAGAAAGGATTCAAGAAGGAGAGAGTGTGGCAGAGCTTACCATCAGCCCAGCCTCTTCTCTTCTGACTCACAACTCAGGACAAGCTAAATGAAGCACAAACAGACAAAAATAGATCCTTCATGCAACAGAAAGGTAAAAACTGACTCATGAAAGCCTCCACTCTTTAATGAACGGCAGCAACGGATACATGAGAGTGTCGGAGCAAACCACTTCAAAGCAGCTGGCCACATGACGGCACTAACGACCCCGGCAGACCTGATGCTTAAAATGTTAAGAGTTTATTCCTGCTTAATCAGCCTCGTGATGTTCACATAAAACGACATGAAAACATGAACAAGTCATCGGAGCGGCACTTACAGCTCTTAAAACAAACATGAAAACATAGCGGCTGCAGCTTTGAGGAGCTCAGGACACACGCAGGGTGACGATGCTGAGCCTGGAATAATTATTGATTCACAACTGAGTTATGAGCCATTCACCTTAAAAACAATTCATTCACTTATTTTTTTATTTATTCATTCTGAAACAAAAAACTCAAAGAACACGGCGAGTTATTTCAGCTCAAGACTAAGTAAGGGACAGAAATTTATGTAGGTTAATTTTAGATCCTTTTTTTTTACAAGGTTCATAATTTTATTACAAACTCCATCACTGCTTTTAACAAGAGGAATATGGATTTATCTTTGGATCTATTATAGGGCTGCAAACTAACAATCATTTTAGATTCATCTATTAATCGAATAAAATAAATTGGTATTTTCTGCAGACTTTCAATTTAACCAATTAAGTATATTTTATATAATATTAGAAAAACATACAAAATATATATAAACTATTAACGTCCTCTTTTAAATAAAATAAAAAAATAGCATTGTATTGCCTAAAATGCAAAAATATAGCATTTCTTTAGTGTGTTTGATAATTTGTTGCAAAGGATGCATCTTTGGCTAAAAAATATTTCTAATATCCACATGTGAAAAGCTCAGGCCTTTCTGCTTTGATTGATATCAATACCAGGAGGAGCTGAAACTACTCAAACAATTGATCCTGTTTTACCTGATGGTGACAAATGGCTGAAGCAGTCGGGTTTTCCAACAGAATGTGATCTAAAACTGGCTTTGCGACGGATAACTTCAAACTTCTTAGACATTTGAAGATTATGCCTTAAGGCTACACACAATTTAAAAAATGCTTTAAGGAATATTGGAATATCAATGAGGCATCTAATTTATTACTGCTAATTTATTACTGCTAAAAATATGAATAACTCTAACTAAAGTTGCACATTATCTTGAGTCGCATGGTGAGATTTTGAAATATCGGCCTGAACGATGGGTTTTCAGTGACTTGACGTGACATTTAATCTGTGTTTACTGTGGCTGTGAAGAGAAAGCTCCTAACAGATAATGAGGAGATAATGATGCAGATGAAAGACAGAAAAACAGTCAGGAAAACGTGACGTAATTCAGTGCTTGAAGACCAGGGTTGGGAAACAGACTTAATTGTAGTCAATATTATTGGAATTACACGTTTTCTTAATATCATGCAGCTGATTTTGCCTCTGCAAGCTTGTATTAAAGCAAATTGAAAGCAAAGACAGTCCTCTTGTGGATGCGAACCGAGCAGTGAACATAAAAGGATGTTTTGTGTGCACAGAACGCCTTCTTAATCACATAATTGCAGCGTTAGCCTCGTTTGTAGGCATGATCTTGAATCACCCTGAAAGGGTGTGTTAGAGGATAATGTACACTGCATGCTTCACATAGTCTGAAAAAAGGCACAGCAAACTTTACGTGATAGGTTCTCTCTACCTAGGACACAGACTGCTTTCCAGAAAACCAGAAAAACAATCCTCTGAGTCAGCACAACCATGAAGTATCACTTAACAAGCCAAGAGAGCAATTGCTCTTCCAGAAACAAAACAAAAAAAAACCAATCCACTCGTGTTGAGCTGTGACTCATTTGATGCAGGTTCTGCTGATAGATCCCACAGCACTGAGGTGTTTGTAGATATGCACACTCTCTCTAACTGAACCATGCATGATGCATCCAAAGGTTGCTTCACCTTGTTATTGGCGTTCTCACTACTGATGCGTAATTCAACAACACTTGAGCACAAATGAAAACTCCAACCGAGCGAAGCTGTCGGCGTAAACAAATTCAAATAATTCAACCACATTCTCTTAAAGTTGATGTTTGGCAGCAATAAAGCAAACCAGCGTTCAGTTATGATATGCTGCTTGTGTTGAACAGCATGGAGCCCCTGAAAGCTGCATGCAGGTTGTTGTGGCGATGCATCACTCTGACTTGTATAACAGGGCTTCCAGTTATCATATGAATCCTACGAGAAAAAATGCTTCATCTACAGGTGCATCATCACTCAAATCTAATTAAGTTCTAAAATTAAATTTTAAAAGTGAAATTTGTTTATTGTATAAATACTGGATAACATATTTAAATCTTTTATTTCTGGTCATTTTTACTTAATTTATGGACAACAGCTAATGAAAACCCAACTGTCAGCTTCTCTGACAATTGGATCATTGCATCAGAAGAATAACTATTTTCAAAGAAATGAAGCTTCATGCTAAGCTATGCTACAGACACTGACTTCCTACACTAGTAGGAAGTTAATTGCTATAGAAGATGACTGTGTCTGAGTACATTGGTGGAAAGTTGAGTGGAAGGAAAATGTGTTTAAACCTGTTGCTTGTGCATCCTTTACTACAACAGTTTTTCAATTAACTTAACTTTCACCTAATATTCCAGCATGCAGCACTCTGAAAGCCAGTGTCTGACCTTTTGCGGCTTAACCATCCATCTGGAGGCTATCAGTGACTGACTGCTAAAACACTGTAAGGTCAATGGCCATCATCTTGACTGTCTTGACCAAAACATAAAAAATATTTGTTTAATTTTCTGAAAAGCTTATCTATGATACACAGTAACTTTCATCAGGTTCGTTAATACACACATACTCTTGTGAGCGCATACAGTACTTAACGTAACAACACTGAATACAAAATTGTAAGCTCCAAATCAAAGCCAAGCGATAATAAACGCTCCACACAGATGTGGAACCATATCCTGCATCTGCAGAGAGAACACAATGACATCTGACTCCTTCAGGCTGAAGTCTAAAGTAGGTCAACCAGTATTCACCTGTCACTCTGCGGACGCAGCGCTCCGATGTCACACCGGCTGCAGCGTCCTGTGCAAGTGAGCTAACATTTTACTTGTGTTAGACTTTCAACAAAGGCTGCTTTCCATGTCAAATCCTTCCTATTAACGCCATCATTTAGGGATTATTTTAACTTCTATTGTCCAGCGTTTGATTGCAAGTGAAGATTACTCAAATATACTTATTATAAATATATAAGATCATAATGCATAAGTTGAATAAAGACAGCTGTAAGAGCAACTTACCTTCACATGTGGTCATTTGCAGCAGATCTGTGCTTTTATGAACACAGGGGAATAAAATGCTTAGCAATCCAAGCCGATTTCCGGCCAGGCTTCCTCTGGGTGACTTTTCCAAATAAAATAGCTCTTGAACTTTAACCCACAGCTTCCGTGGAAATTTAGAAAAATCACATGCTGCAAAACAAGAGAAAGACAAAAAATTAAAAAAAGCAGAGTGCACTCAGTAAATAGTTGATGTGAGAAATGTGATTGTGTGTGCTTTAAGTATATAAAACATTTTAAAGCTTTTTTTTTTGTTTGTTTGTTTAATGCGCTACACGCTTAATACATTTAACATTTAAATCAGGAACTTCTAAAACACACTGCTAGTCTGAAAGCTGCATCGAAAGAACAGTCAACAACTTTATCACCATTATGTTAAAGTGATGGCCCTAATTTGACCTCATTGCCTGGAAAAAAGGAAGTTCAGGTTTAATTTTAAATCCCCACAGGGTAAAGCTCACCTCACATTAAAGAACCTAATCCGTTTCATTCTGTTTCATTTTGCAGAGAGCGGGCCTCAGAGGACATTTAGAGTAATTAACTGTGAAATGTTAATTAATAGTGCATAAATGACCCATGAGGATGCTCACAAGACATTAACTATTTGCTGGTGGTATGGAAACCAAACTGTTTTGCTGTGTTGCTGTGATGTTATAAACTATTCTGTGTTGAAGCTGAGGTTAAAGAAACCATCCAGCCGTCCATTTTATGTACTAACAAACATAGACAGACAATACATAAACAGTTAATAATGTATAAATTTCCACTGCAAGAGTTCTTAAAATACACAGATTTTATTGAGTGCATTTCTGTTAATGACATCACAAGAGGCACAAGAATGGAGACGATCTGGAGGTATTAGCAGACACAATATGGTTTATGTACATTTTTTCTCCCCGATTTAACATCTCAAAACCTTTATATGTAACTACATGGTTTTTGCCGATCCTCTGTCTTTGCCAGGACGTTTATCTGATTTCACTCCCTGACTCAGACCTGGTTCCCGTCTGATTGAGGAGCATCTCAGGTCTGAGGACACACAGATCCGGTAACAACGGCAGCGAAGCCCAGAATGCAAATAAAACCGTGAAATCTGACTCAGACTGCATTAAACTCAGCTTGTTTTGTAGCTGCTATGCTTTAAAATGCACAAACTATCTGAAAATGTGTAGATAGAATAGATTTTAAGTGAACTGCGACCATCTTGTAACTCACATCTACACACACACAGCCTCTGCAGCAGCTCCAATCAAATGGGTGAATGATTTACAATCCTGTGCGGTTGTGATTGCTTTAATCTGCATCCTGGAACATAAACCCTGAAAACTAGTCTACATTTACTCAATAAAATCTCCAAACTAAACCTTTGACAAGAGCATTACATCATCTGTGAGGGGATACGGAAAGCAGAGGACTGCCTTTCCTTTAATGAAGTGTTTCCACTGACCATATAAAATTTTACTAATTTATTTCAACATAAACTTTGTAAAAACACATATTTATTTTTTGGGGCTAAGGGTCTAAATTTTGTTGACAGACAAAATATAAAACTCCCCCTGTAGATT